TTGCGAACACACACACACACACATGCACATGCATGCATGCGTACATATAAATATATATATATATATACATATTGTAGAGAAGCAGACCATCTCAGCACGAAAACTGTGCATAGACTGTCATATAATATCTAATCAATGCATTGCGCAAAGCCAGCGCAAAGCATCGCAAAGCTACCCTTCAAGCGGATAGTTACTTATGCCACAGTTCCTGAGAGAGCCTGCCCAGGGAAGCTGCAAGTCAATGCATAAAGGGAACCAGATCTTCATGATGTAACGATGTGTCTGTACTCCCCAAGGTGTGCTAGCTAGCGGCAGCATCAACGTTGCAGCTGTATTCGCAAAGTCCGCTGAGACTGCCGGAGCTTTTGAGTTTAAGCGATGAAGCGCCGCCAAGAACAGCTGCAGCAGCATTAGCAGCAGTATCGAAGCACGTGCACAAAGAAAATGACAACAGGCAAAAGGAAGACGATCGCACCAGCAACAGCGACAGCAACAACAACAACAACAACAGCTGCCGGTACCCCTACTGCAACTCCTGCCCCTGGCCCTACTCCCACTACCACTCCTGCTCAAACTACTACCACCACTACCACCACCACCACCACCACCACCACCACCACCGCCACCACCACCACCACCACCACCACCACCACCACCAGGCGGGTACGACAACGATGGTGCTACCACGAGTACTGCAACGAGGACGACGACGACAACTACGAGTACTACTCCTATACTACTATACTACTACTACTACTACTACTACTACTACCACCACTACCACCACTACCACTACCACTACCACTACCACTACCACTACCACTACTACTACTACTACTACTACTACTACTACTACTACTACTACTACTACTACTACTACTACTACTACTACTACTTTACTACTACTTTACTACTACTACTACTACTACTACTACTACTACTACTACTACTACTACTACTACGGCTCCTGCTATTGCCCTTGTTAAGGAGTCCTCGCTGACCTCTTCCGCGGAGTCCTCAGCCAACGCATGTGTGGAGCTACCGCGCCACTTTGCTGCAGCTGGCTAAAGAAGCGAGTCTTGAAAACTGAAAGGGGTAGTAAGATGCATCAGGGCTCTGTTCGACAATCGGTTTTCAATTCGGAGTTCTGTAGGAGATAGATGGGAGGAAGAAAGGGAGGACTGCAGGTTTTCTCTGTGAGTTTGGTTTGGGAGTTTCCGAAAATAGGGGATCCTAATATAGTACCCTAAATAGTAGGATCCTTGTTATAAGGAACCCAAAATAAGGTGCCCCTATTTTCGGAAACTCCCGTTTAGGGTCTTGGCGCTTCGGGAGGGTTCAGGGCATGGACGTGTGATGCTGCGGACCTCGACTCCTTCATCCACCCGCCCGGTCCATTCGACGCAGGACGCAGTCCTTTGCTCCCTCCAGGGGCCTGAATAAGTAGAATAGGGATCTGTGATACGTTATGCAAGTACTATAGTTAGATATAGCAAGGAGCCCAAAGGAAGAATATATTGGTTTCTTTTGAGGCGTCTATAATACTTCATGCATGCACGGGGGTTCATGGGTGGTGGGCACAAGGCCTGTGTATGCATGCAGGCGTGACTGACATCTCCTATGCTGGTGTCCCCTGCATGGACACATCATGAAGATGATGCAGGTATCTGCACGCTTGATTGAATATCACGGCACTACTGGTTTCAATACGTGAGGCAAGACCCCCGACTCTTTTTTTTATAGGAAGTTTAGGGTCTATAGGGGTTCAGGCTTTCTTCAGGGTTCGAATCTTTTAGCGTTTATGATGGTGTTTCGGCTCGAGCTCCCGCATGGCAAACCCAACCAAACACAGTAGTGACAAGCGTCGAAGCACCTTTCAAGGTTTTTGGCACTCATACCCGGATGGTGCAGGCGTGTTAAGTATGCAAACATACGACTGTGCCCCAATGACATCCGTTGCCCCGCAGATCGGTCAACTGCACCCAGACAATACGAAAGACCACACTCACAAGCTGGACGTGCAGGCAAAGTGTGTCACGCACACGTACCCCAAAGCATGAGGGAGTTCTACCTCATCGCAAACAGGCATCAGTTCAAGTACTTGTGCGGACGGAGCCCAACCAAACCGACCAGCAGGATTTCGAAAAGGTTCAGGTGTTGCCACATGCAGTCTGCCGCATGCGCATTGGGAGCTCACCTGGGTTTGTCCGAGTTGCGAGAGCGTAAGAAGCTCTGAGCCCTGGACGCTAATCTCCTAAAACCTTGCTCCGAGCTCACCGTAGTGTCGAACTGAGGGCAAACTTATTCAGTGCTTCTGCGTAAATGTCACACCTACCGAGAGACCTCGGCCTCGTCTGGCGAGTCCGAGTTGCGAGAGTGTACCTATAGTCTCCATTGTAGTTCCTTTTTGGGGTTACCTTTTAGGATCTCAAATATAGAAATGGTTAAACCAAAAAAAGGAACTACAATGGAGACTATAGGTAGTCTCCCAAAACCCGCGGCAGAGTCAGAGCTTTGGAGAGTCCAATCTCCTCACAGGGCTTTGTTATATTCTAATTAATACTTAATGTAATCAGAACAGGGTTTGGGGGCCAATTAAATATACTATAAAAAAATAGTTATAGAATAATTGGCCCCAGAACCCTATTCTAATCTGAATTATTATATTAATAGGCCCCTATATTAGATACCCTAAAAACCCTTAAACAAGCCATAGATCCCTCTGAGTTCTTTGGGAAGCCGCGAGGCTCGGGAGAAGCACGGCGGAAGCATCGGAGCTCGTGCTGCTAGCTGGATCGAAGAAAAGGAGGGCTTTCTGGCCCTTTGCGGGGGGGTTCTAGGGCTTTCTTGTCCTTTTTGGTGGTTCTAGGGCTTTCTTGCCCATTTTGGGGGTTCTAGGGCTTTCTTGCCCATTTTGGGGGTTCTAGGGCTTTCTTGCCCTTTTTGGGGGTTCTGGGGCTTTCTTGCCCTTTTTGGGGGGTTCTAGAGGCCCTAAAAACCCTAAACTTAAACCCTTTTGGTGGGGTTCTCGGGTTTTGGGGTTCTAGGGCTTTTTTGTTGATTCAGGGTTTCCCTAAACCCTAAACCCTTTTGGGGTTCTCGGGTTTTGGGGTTCTAGGGCTTTTTGTTGGTTCAGGGTTTCACTGTCAGAACTCATGGGGATCTATGGGCTTTTTCTGGATGCATATCGGGATTTCTGGGCTTTATGTAGACCCATGGAGTTTTGAAGGGCTTCGCAGGAGCCACACAGTCTCATTAGTTCTATATGGTTCTAGCGCTGTTGTCCAGATCACGCTCGGTGCTCGCACATGCCATGTTGCCCTCCAGCATGTGTTTGCTCCGCTGTTAGATCTGGGTTTGTAGGATTTCAGGCGAAATTCAAGGGTTTGGGATTTGGGTTCGAGGGTGGCGACTGTCACTGAAGCTAAGCATTCCTTTGCTAGGGCATCCGGTGTCGGGATATGCACGAGTTGTCTTCCGCATATGCACGATGTAACCTGCGACACTTAGGGGTTGATGGCTTGGTGCAGTTGTTGGAGATTCTAGAGGTTAGGGCCCCGAGGTTTTTCACTAATGTTTCTGTCTTACCGGGCACATGAGCTATGAGTTCAAGACTAGTGACTGTAGAAAAAGCTTGTGCTGCTGCCCCAGGGCAGGTCTGCATGTTTCGGTCCTCATCACCATGGCTTCGGGATGGGGATGGCGGAGTTGGTGCAATGTTGTAAGTGTTTGAGATCATTATATAATTAGAATAGGGTTTTGGGGCCAATTATTCTATAACTTTATAATAGTTATGGTATAATTAATTGGGCCCAAAACCCTATTCGTGGGTGCGGAGCTTTCGGGCTAGTGGGTTCAGGCCCGACATATTCACGGCGATGTGAAGAGTGAAGAGCATTTGGCGCGCCGCCTTGCGTCACAGTGCATTCCGGCCAGAAACGGCGGTCTCCTACGTCGTCGTTCTGAAGCAGCGGTATTTGTATTGATATATTGTTTGTTTCAACTGCATGCTGCAGGAGCCAGCAGATTACGGCAACTGGCGCACACAGACTCGAGTCTTCCCCAATCTGCGAGCCATGAGCCATGGGTGGACGTATGCAGATGTGAAGTACCTTCGCTGCATTGTTCAGGATTCCTGAGCTCACAGGCACAACTTTGTGATCTTCAGGCCTTCTAGACAAGAGTCCTTCCCAAAAGTGGATATCCACTCTTCGGACTTCCTGAAGTCCTGGCTTTCTCCACGCTTTTCGTTCTAATGCTGAAAGCCCGTTTGGTTGGTAAGCGAACTTCACAAGCTGAATGACCTGACGACACAAGCCTCGAACTAATGTCCACATGTGTAAACTGGCCGAGCATTAGGGCCATTAGGGTAAACACATAGTATATCAGATGACATGTAACATCCTCTGTCGGTTTGTTTGAACATGTAACGTATAAGGCTTTTTGAGTTAGACCAAGATGGATCCGGAGAGGAAGCCCCATCCGGAGTTCATGTACCAGCAAACACAGGCCCTTCAGCGCTGACTACAGGATGAAGCTGTTGGCCCAAGAAGGCTATCTGAAAAGTAGGTTATTGCCTTTCTAGCCGAAATGCCTACCTTTATGAATATGTCTATATATATATGTGTGTGTGTATATATGTATATGTCTATGTATATGTATATGTATATATGTATCTATTTATATATGTGTGTGTACGCATGTATGGATCTATCTATCTATCTATCTATATATATATATGCGTACACACATACATGTGCATGTTTTTGTAATTGTACATATATATATATATATATATATATATATAAATGTATATGTATATATGTGTAGGGCCAGGGTGTACTAGGCTAATACATTGGCAAATGGGGTCCTTGTATGCAAGGTTTTGCGAGGAATAGTTCATGTGCCGGACTTCTTCAGGTTCATCAGTAACACATTAGTCCCTTATCCTGGCACATTGACCCGCCAACTGGCAAAGTCATGCCGAAGCAGGTGTCGCGATGACTCGTTGCCGGTTGTCGCTTCTTCTTGCGGCGCTGGCCGGCTGCGGGGCACAAATAGACTCTTGTCTACGAATGGAGTCGAATGGAGAGCGCAAAGCCAGCGGCCCGGGGTCAAGTGATTTTCTTTTCGGGTCCAGACTGGTTGTATCTTCGTTCTCTTAAGGCCTAAGTTTGGCCTGCAGCATGTTGCAATCAAGGTGCGTGTAATTACACTTCTTGCTGCATAGACCTGTCCCATCTGTGAAGCACGTTGATGTATCTTCACCGTGTGCTTGACAGTCGTGTGCAAGCTTGAAACGGAAGGCAGGTTCATATGGAGTTTTCGAAAATAGAGGACCCTAATATAGTACCCTAAATAGTAGGATCCTTGTTATAACGACCCCAAAATCCTAACTTCCTTTTTGCCATGTCTGACTCTTTCCAACGGTCGCAAGAGTGAGGGATAGCAGCCAGACGATTTCAAGACCACGAACAATAACGGTTGATTGAAGACACGGCTCGGCGTTAGCTGACCAGAGCCAATCCTCAGACCTCAGCTCCCTTGTAGAGCCGAGGATGGCTTGGATGCAAGCTGCATTGCCTGGTGGAGCAGGCCTGCCTAGTCTAATTATTCAGGCCGTATATGGAACGCTTAAGCAAGCCCCTACAGTGCCCTTCCAGAGCCCTTTAAAGCCAGAGCCGATGATGAGACCAACCAGATTTGAGTAGTCCTGTTTCCAGGGGTTGTGCAGACTCACGCATTCCTTTCTCTTGGCTAGACAAAGGCTACACATGTAGATGTATACTGACGTGCACCTGTACAAGCACAATATGGTTCACGATGTCCATAGACATACGTACATGGGCACGCACACACTAGTACCAAGCATAAGGCTGCCAATGACATGCATGCATGTGGATCACCTTTACTTTTGTAGCGTGGCCCGACGCCCTAAAACCCGAACGCTCCGTCGTTTTCCCTTGGCCCGGCGCCAGGCAGTGCCGCTGGGGGGCTTTGGCAGTCGAGGGCACAAGTACGGAGGCAGGAATTGGGATCACCGAGGTTCAGGCTGATCTTTACATTGGTACATGTACAACATGTACATACACCCATACATGATTTATATATATATATATATACATATACAGACCGATATGCGTTTACAGAAGAGGAGACTGTGGGGCCTGCGATATATATATATATATATATATATGTATGTATATATATATATGTATATATATATATATATATATTATGTATGTATGTGTATGTATATGTGCATGTATGTATGTGTATACAAATGTATAAAAGTAAATATGAATATATATATATATATATATATATACATATATATGTATGTATGGTACACCCCCCCCCCATGGATCTACCAGTTTCGTGCGTTTCAGAACCGCACGAAAATGGTAGATCCTTGAGGGGAGGGGCTAGCCGATGGACCATTTTGTGGTTGGGTGAACTCCACCCTGGCCCCTTTGGGTTCAATCGGGGCCGATTGACTTCAATCGGGGCCGCTTGAGAGCTTGCATTTCATCCCAAGTGGGCAAATTATTCTCTATTGCATTCGATGGTGTATTCTAAGGGTACTCTGCAGGGTATTCTACATAGGGTTTTCTTTGCAGCTTTGTATGCGGTACTCAAAGGGTATCAGACACGGTGGGTATTCTGTTGGTGTGAAGGTTTTGGGAAAATGAGTTTTGGCTAAAAGAGCTTTTGGAGCGCAGGGCTGTCATGGTCTTGCCCGATGATCTTCGGTCTCGCACTTACCTTTGGTTAGTAGGGAATGGAGGAATGGGGTACAATAATTATACCTACTATTACTACCATTCTTTCATTCCCTACTGACCAAAGGTTAGCTTAGGGTGGACCATGGCGGACCACTGAATATTTTCACGTTTGTTTCACGTGGCTTCGAGGCCTATCCGCACAGGTTCCGGTTTAGGATTTCGGACTCACTGTCGCCTGGGCAAGCTAAGAGTCTCTCCGCAAAAAGTTACGGGTCAGCTCCAGGCAAGTCCTGGGTGTTCTTGAGCTGTATGACTTCCAAAAGCATGTATAAAGCGTTTCGTTTCTAATAAGCAAGTTGTCTGAGATTTGTTTAGCCCCTTCTCTGACCAAGTGTGTGAACCACTCAAGTAAGTTGAAGATTATATGCACATGATGTTTGTTTTGATTGTTGCCCGCCTGGTGTTTTGAAGAAGTAGCCAACATCAACAACTTTGTGTAGTCTCTTCATGCTCTGGGACCTCATGGGCGAGTGAGTTGTCTCCTATCGCTGCAGTTTAAATACCGTACTACGAATCGGAGCTGCTGAGCCGTATAACCTAAACTTTGAGCTTGACTCACTTAGCTTGCCGAGTTGCGAGAGCATAACACCTAGGTTCCCCAGTAGTACCCTTTCGCCCTTTATTTTTTGGGGTCGCCAAACTAAAACCAAATAGTAGGGAAAAGGGTACCCTATTATATTATTAGCGGGATTTCTATGTATGTATTTGAATATATGATCTTGGAGGACGACTCTGCGTGCGCTGCGACTGGCCAGGCCTTTCCTCCTTCACCAGGTGCCAGCAGAGGGCTGATTAGTAACTATATATAGTAATCGGGTTCATTAGGGTGTCGGGCGTGGGGCCTTCGGGTATCTTAGGGTTTATGGTTTCGAATTCTGGGTCCGAGGGTCCCTCTTAGAAGCTATAGATTAAGTTAGCATACGAGCGATACGTCAGGCTCCTTGACAAGAACACGCTTTTCATCCCGCGGGGAAGCTAATTAATAGCGGATCCGTGAATCGAAGGCTTCAGGTCACGAAGTTTGCCGCTCAAAGTTGCGGAGTTCGGAATTTGTTTTTGTAAGGTTCTCGGTGTAGGTGTAAGGCTTATTGCCTTCAAGGCTTTAGGAGCTGCTGTGTGTCATGCAAGCAACCAAAGCACAAAATCTACAGTTCACATGTGCTGGCCTACCTTGGGGCTCGTTGCGTTGAAATGCATGCAGTCTCTGCGGGTGCACCCGTAATACAAGTTTAAATATGCCTTTCCAACGGGTTTATATTGTGTTGGTTCTTCTGTCATCTATTTCGATCTTGCGCTTGCTTTTCATTTTCCATTCGATGCCTATGAGACATTTTTCCAGTGTGGATGCAGCTTGCACGCATGCATGCATGCGTGCACGCAGACACGGCCGGACAGACCGACCTCGATGGCGAAGGCTATATGGACTAGATATGCGATAGGCATCTGTCTGCCGTCATCTTTGCAAGGAGCCGGTGCACAGACAGGATGTAGACCTTAGTTGCGTGAGTCTGGCCGTCAGTTCGTAGGAATGCTAGCGAGTAGCCAGCGACTTATGCAGGATGCCCGTGTGCAAAAGCTGATGGATGCCCTCTAAGTTATTTGCCTGCTCATGTCTTGTCTTCGTGGTTGTTTTTGTAGAATGCTGCAGGCGCTGACAGACGGATGTATACAATGACCACATACAAGCAATGCCATGCGGGGCTTTTCGATGCCAGGCAGACATTTGAGCCTTTACCTGCACGGATGCATGTGTCCAGTCATCCACGCACCCATCATGCTTCATGTATGCCTACACTTCTGCAAGCACATGCGTGTGTGTCGTGTGTGTGTGTGTGTGTGTGTCGCGTGTTACACGGACTCCATCGAGATGAGCATTCCAGTGCGTGCACCGCAGACAGGAGCCACCTGGGCACCGGTGCTCGATCAGATGCTCAGGCGGAGCCCGAACAAAGCGCTTCTTGCAGGAACCGACCAACTTGGAACGGAAGCATTTTCGTCAGTGATTTAGATTCAGACGGGAGCACACCGGGAACACACCAGGTACAAAGAACAAATAATAATGTGCAGGAACAGCGAGCGGTTGACAGGTCAATGGGAAGGTCGTAGCCGACTGGTAGTCCATTCAGGGGACTCCTGTGGAAAAGGCAGTGAATATGCACTCATGGAAGCATGAGATTCCGGCACATGCGTAGCAAAGAACAGAGCTGCTCACCGACCCATGTGAGACCCCGACTCACTGTCACGTAGGTTTGCTGCCCTGAAGCCCGAATCTTGTCGTTTAGGTTCTGGATCCGGGATACAAAGTGGAGGTGTCCAGCTGCAACCCTGCAGATTGGTGAAGTTACGGCTTAATGCTAAGCAACAGACTCGCGGCATCTGGTCAAGTCATAAGATATGGGCGAAAAATACCTATTCAATTTCTTAGGGTATCTTATTATTGTAATCATACATAACTATACTGTAGTAGAATACCCCAAAACTAGAGGCATAATCTGATTAATTCTCGAGGCCCCTACAGTTTTCTACATTTTGGGGTTTGTGCATGGCCGCAACTCGAATTCGCCGCTATATCTGCTTGCGCTGAAAGCAGACCGGGAGCTCCATACATCTTTGTCATAGTTGGGTAACATTTTACATGTTTATGGGTACTTAAACCCAAGAAGGAATAGAAGTTTAGATTTTTAATCCTATCCCAACCATGAACTAGACATACCGACGGTGTAGAGGTTCAGGGTTCAGAGTTTAGGGGTATGTTCTGAACTCGACAGTTTGTTCTAAACATAAACGGCGTTCGAGTCGCAACCCTGAGCCCGAAACCCTGGTCAGTGAATCCGCATTTTGTCCGACCCCATCACGGTTAACGCTGCAGTACTACAAGGCAGCAACACCAAAAGCAACAGCATGCGTATGATCATCATGATCACCGTTGTTGTTGTTGTTGCTGGTGCTGCATTCGTTGCTTCCGGGAGCTTGCCACACGGTGCTTGCGTAAGTGTAGTCGTCGTTGTAGCAGGGGGGGGCCCTGGGACTAGAAGTCGTACTAGGGAGTTTCATAGGGGTACCTTATCTTGGGGTTCTTATGATAAAGGATCCTACTATTATTAGGGTCCCCTGTTTTCGGAAACTCCCACTAAGCCCGAGCCCCAACGATCGTGTGTGAAACACACGCGCTTGCAGTACAGAGGCTTGAGCAATTACCAAGCTATACTAATGCCGGCAAGACCTGATTCCAAACAGTAGGGCCCCTAGATTAGAAAAGCCCTATACGATCCTTGCAAACCCCTATAAGCGCGCATTCCAGAAGCCTAAAACTACAAGTAAACCTGAGAGAACTCACTTTAAAGGGACCCTTCCCTAGACCCTAAACCCTTTTCAATTCTAAGCCCCCGGATAATTTTCCCACCCGGAGCAGCGCAGATGCACCGCCGGCTTCTACGAGGGACGCTACCTGGAGATCCGGCTAAATCCTGAGGAGCGGCTGCAATTATCATATGTGGGGTTATAGTAGAAATAGTTTTAATAATAATGGTTCATACTAGATATTCGGGGTTATAGTAGTGAGAATACTGGTTGATAATAGTTGTTGGTGTTAGAATCACATTAGAAAAAGCAACAATATTGAGCTAAGGTTCAGGAATCTCTCCTTGCAGTGCTACTTCTCAGCTGATCGGCCGAGTCTGCGATACGGATTTAAGATTCCGTTTGGGGTTTCGTGGAATCGTGGGCGCTGGCCGGCACCTCAGTCCGTGCTGAAAGGGTCTCTATGGAGTTTGGGTCCTGAAGAGAGCCACGTTCAAGACGCATGGATTCAGGGCTTGTCAGGCTCATCTCGGGTAGGACGTAGGATCTTGGTGCGTTGCATTGGTGGAAGTGTCCAGGTGTTTGCACTGCACCTATGCCAGAGGCTATTTTTGTGGCATGTTGCATGGCTTGATAATATAGGGGCATTAACAATTACCCTGAATTACCTATAATATTTTGGTGCACCATGGGCCCAAAAACCCTCTTCTAATGATTAAGGCCCCTATATTCTAGTACCCGTATAGCATCCCTCATAGTAACCCTAAAAAGACCCCTTGAAAGGAACCTTCTATTCTAATCATTACAGGCCCCTATACTAGCGATTCGAAGATGTGCCTGCCATGCCCGCCTCTGTTTGCCAGGGGTTGCTTAGGACAACGCAGAGCAGTGGCTTCCAGATCGGCTTTAGGGTTTTAGGGTTAAGGGCAAGACTTCAAGAGGCCTGGATGCAAAAAAACGGTTAAGGGTTTAGGGTTCATGCTTTCGTGTTAAGGGTTTTAGGGTTTTTGGGTCCCAGCACTTCTTGCACAAGCGCCGCAAATTTCGACTCGGTTTCCCTCGAAAGGCAAAGGTATAAGGTGCAAACTCAAAAGCAGGTTGATCATGGGCAGCAACTCAAGCGCAGGAACTCTGGCGTGGATGGCGCTTTGAACACCCACGGCCGCACATACCTGCCACTCGGTGAGCATGGCGTAGTCACAAAGCAAAACGTGGAAAACTCATGCAAGTTGCATATTTTCCATTTCTCACAACACGGCCTGAAGTATGTAAGAGATTCGTTGACGTTTTCAAAATACACAGCTGATCTACTGCCCTCTGTTTGGAGCTGTGAGCTGCCAAGGCGAAGCCCAAAGCTCAAAACCTCAACCATACATGAGACTTGGCGTTGAGGCTTCAGGGCTTATGTCGGTCACATCCCATACTGAACCGAAAGATGACGACACAAAAATTCCGGAATCCTCATCTCCTCGGGTGAGTTCTTGCTGTAGGCAGCCGCAGTTTTCACACAACACATCCAACTGGTGCAACCAACACGAGCCGTTCTGAACCCTCGGAGGGCGCTCCCGGATTGCTTGTTGCCATCCTATAGAAGTACGCAGCTCCATGTGCTCAGAACTTGTGAGTTGAGACAGGTTGAAACCCTGCCAAGAAGTGACCATAGAACATCCTTACCCAGACCTTCCAAAATTTAAGGAAGATACCTTAAATTATACTAGGATCCATAATATGATTTAAGGTATATTCCTTAATTAAGGGATTTTGGAAGGTCTGGGTACTGAACCCCAATTTCCCTTCGCCTGAATCTTTGCAGCCCCAAACCGGAAAGTCCAGAAGCCTTGACACGTTCGGAGCTGGAGGAGTCTTTTGGCCTTTGCGTTCCCCGAGGGCGCTGTCGAGAGTCTGCCGTGCCTTTTGGCCAAGGGGCGGGCTGGGAGCTAGATGAAACCTCGGTCCCAATGACCAACTGTTATAACATCTTCGTTATACGTGTATATATATATATATACATATAGACAGATATAGATACTACTGTTCTTCAGAGGTCCGTATTGCAACTATTGTCGCCACCCAGCCCAACACCCCATTGCCATCAGCTGCGCCCAGAGCGTTCCATCGAGGTATAGGGGCGTAGGGGAAGGAATGTCAGGGTTTACAGGGAAATTGGGGTGTGAGACTGTTAACACTTAAACTTGGAGTCTTGAAGCGAGAAGGGTGCCTTGAGTGGTGTTCGCGCATCAGGGTTTTGAAGGGTTATCACTGTTATGCTTGGTCACAAAACTGTGATAGAAATGCAGGGCCCTACGGGGTTCCTTTCTGTAACCTTAGCCCTAAACATCATTAACCCATGCTGAACCCTTAACCGCTGTCACAGTTGACGACTTTTGGCTGCCAGTGGGCTGATGTTTTATGAGGCCTGCCCTATTTGGGAGTTTCCGAAAATTAGGGGTACCTTATTCTGGGGTCCTTATAATAAGGATCCTACTATTCAGGGTACTATATTAGGGTCCCCCATTTTCGGAAACTCCCATTTCCTGAAAAGACCCTGAGCACTGCTTACCCGAAATTCCGTGGCGGGCCAGAGGATCCCCCAGAGCAGCCGGGCTTCGCGTGTGCCGTAAGGCGCTAAGGGTTTGGGATTTCACTACCAGGGACCACTTACCTTTGGTTAGTAGGGAATGGAAGAATGGTAGTATTTCATAGTAGTAGTTATAATTCTACCCCATTCCTCCATTCCCTACTAACCAAAGGTAAGTACGAGGGTCCTGGAGCCTTAGGGTGTTGTTGCTCTTGTTTGGTGCATGCGCAGAGTGCTGAGGAAGTGGCTGCTGGTACCACTGTTCTGGCTGTATGTTGTCGGGGGCCACCCAGACTCTGTTGACCACTGGGCCACTCGACTCATGTTGTGTGCGCTTCCAGGGCGCATGACTATTCTTGGGGCGAAGGAAATTTGGGCATCAAGAGTTTACATCTAAGCTGTAGGCGGGCACCTGGGGAAGCAGGCGCGAGTCTGCAGAATGCATGCGTGCAAGCACCAGCCCATTCATTCCGCTAAAGGAGGGGCCTAAATAATTACCAATACTATTTTGGGTTCCTGAGATGATTATAGTATATTGGGCCCCCCAAACCCTATTCTAATTAATAAGGCCCCCACATTACGCACCTTAGTCTTGAACATATCAGGTGCCATACCCCCGAAGTCAAAGCCGGCCACAATGTGTCAGTTGGGAAGTAAGAGCATACAAGCATAATAGGCCTTTCGCCGTAACCCTGGGTCCCGAGCCACCTCAATCCAACCACCTTTGTCGGCTCTTGTACTAGGTTCGGCGTTTAGGGTTTGTTCATGCGATTACCAGGCCCCCATGTAAAACCAGGGTCTTATTTCCAACTTTTCCCCTCCAGGCCCACCCACACCCAGTTCGTGACATATCTCTGACAGTGAGACTGGCCGGAGAAGAGCTTACAGTAGCAGGAACTTGTCTTCTGGAAAACCCGAACCCCCCCAAAACCCAAACCCTTTGGGGCCATCAGTATGGGACGTTGTTGGTATTCCGCCCAAAGCTCTCAATAGAACAGTCTCACTCTGATAGCAGACCTCAACCATCAGACTCGCCTGGATTGTCCGTGAGCGCCGGAACCCGAATTTTCTTGCCTTTGGTTAGTAGGGAATGGAGGAATGGGGTACAAGTATAACCACTATTACTACCATTCTTCCATTCCTTACAAACCAAAGGTAAGTTTTCCAAGCCTCGCCATGCCTCGCCTTTTGGAGCCCGAGACGGCGAGTCCGAGCTGTACAAGAATATGAGTCCGACAACCCTAAACCCTTAGACCCCCGAAAACCCCGAAACCCTTTGGGATTGAGGGCTTGAGCGAGCTGGCAGTAGTTCCGACGCGCACCGAGAACCTCGTCTGGCTTGCCCGAGTTGCGAGAGCGTAAACCCCTAAACCCTAAACCCAAAAAATGAGAAGCTACCGGAAAGGAAGCTAGTTGCAAGCGTCGATAAGTCCCCATACAACCTCGCTTCTGGACGTAGCTGCCAGCCATGCGAGAGGGGAAAAAAACAAAAACCCCGAAACCCTAAACGCTTTTTTCTGGACGAAGGCCTTCGTTGAGCTGGCTCGACAGCTGAAGGCCGCAGGTGGCCACTTTAACCTTCTTTCGACTTAGGGTTTTGGGGTTTAGGGTTACTGGGGCGGTGGGGATTGGGGTTTACGGATCTTGGACTCAGGAGATACAGTTACTATCGTGGTGTTGCGGCGGGGCCAAGATGTAGGTACCCTCTGTTGGGGACTTCGACTCCCGTGCGTATGCGTCAGCAAGCGCCCTTGTCAGCGCTTTTTCGAAGCGCGGAGTGTCCGACAAGACACGAAGGAAGGCTCGACAATAATAGCACCCTCGTGGTTTGGAGCGTCAGTTTTTCAGAAGCTCCCCTCAAGATTATAAAAGCCTGGTTGTAAACTTTCCATCGCATCATGAATCAGCTGGCCACATCAGGTCCAAAAGGATCCCCAAACCTCAAACCCGAAATTAAACCATCCTATCCTGAACCACCTGCCTCGCACCGAAACCATCCTAAACGCCTGCAGCGTTCAGGTTCACACACAAAAACACCCTACAGCTAATCTCCAGGCAAAAATCTTACACTGCCCTGTGGAGGTGGTGAGCCACCAGGATCGTTGAGTTTGATCACTGGGACGCAGCACAAGGCCTGCCCTGTAAATACGATGCTGTTTCATTTCAGCCAAATGGGGGTATAGGGTTTGGGGAGTATACTGTAGGGTTTAGGGTTTGGGCGGTCTGAAAAACAACCCAGGCAGGATTAGATGAATATCTTCCCAATTTCGGAGCGCTCGTGTAACTCTGACAAATCGATACTTTCAGTTTTCAATAGCATGCCCCAAAGCCTTCGTCTAATTCCAGTGGCATATACCTGTACTGTTTGGAACAGCACCCGAGGAGGATTTCGGATCTTTCCAGGGAGGCACCGCTGAGTATCCGGCCATAACCTTCAGGTTGCCTTTGGTTTGACATTCAGGGGTTTGCGTTCTAGGAGTCTACGATGTGCCTTAGTCCTTAGTCATTATACCGTTTATAAGCTTTAGGGTTTAGGCATCGGGGTTTCGGGTTTAGATTAGGCGTGCTAGCTGCTTCGCTAGTGTGCACAAACGGACCGGGCCTAAAATGGCAAAGCAGCAAGGCACCAAATCAAAAACACCTAAAACAAGGGGAACGAGGACACCGACGACATGCTAGTTTGAGGCATGACCAGGGCACCACATTCTCAGTACCCACAAGCCTTAAAAAAGGCTTCAGCCGAATACAACATCGTCCGCTCCGCGGAAAAACCGCTTTGGAAAGGCCTTTCGCATCAGAAACCACCAGAGCCAATATCAACAACTTCAGAACAATCAGATTAGGGCAATCAGTTTAAGGTTTAGCGTCTCGTGAAGACCTGGAGAGTCCAGCTTGCCGGCATACAACAAAAGCCCGTGCTGCAAAGGCTTGCTCTTGCCCCGCCAAAGAGATGAGTAGCATAGCTCTCGCATTTGTTCTGGCTTTCCCCATCGTACCGCATGCATCCCCTTGCGAAACGCAAGCATGCCCACCCAAGGTCCAGCACCCAGACGATTCACTGAACCATAAACGATCCTTAAAACACCTTACATGAAACCTTGAATTCCCTGAGCCCAAACTTCAGGGCCTGACACGGAAGCTGGAGGGGTTTTCTACCGCCGTGCCAGGAATAGGTTTAATTGAGGTTTAGGTAGATTTCTGGCAGCACGAAGTCCGACTTAGGAATTTAGCTGATAGCCGGTTGATCCTGCAGCCGCCGTCGCACAGGAGCACATCTACGACCAAGCCATGCGCGAAAAGGCGAGAGTGGGGCAGGAGTAAACTAGGAGTATATCCGATGCGAGACTATGACTAAACCCTAAACCCTAAACCCTAAACCCCAAACCCTAAACCCTAAACCCTATGAAAGGGAGCCCGAAGTCCCTTCCGAGATCCAGTGTGCCCACGAGGAGTAGGATGGACGAGGCGCTCAGCGCTCAGCCCTATGAGCCCTAACTGGGTTTAGGGTTTAGGATATCTGGCCGAAGTCGGGCCACATAGGTGAGAGCTTGAGCAACCGTGTCAGGCCATTGTACATCAGGGAGTTCTGGGTGTAGCGTTTAGGGATCAAGCAATGTGACAACTAGCTGACTAGCTGTTAGAATTATCCAAGACGGCTGAGCCTTCTTTCAGCATGATTCGTTCGCAAGCCAAGTAGCACCACCCAAGAGGTCTTTTCTGTATTTGACAACACTCTTTTCTTGTGTTCTGGCTCCTACAGTAAGTAAGTTTCTGTTCTATTCCTACTCAGACCTCAACCCTCAATCCCTCGTCTGGCATGTCCGAGTTGCGAGAGCGTAAACCCCTGAACAGGAGGGGAAAACCCTGAACCTTCAACAGCTAAACTCCAGAACCCTAGACCCTACCCCTTATATAACACACATAAGCAAACCTAGTCCGACCATCGAGCCTGCACTGAAAGGAGGCTCAATTGCCGGTGCCAGCTCCGGCAGTCAGTGGTGCAGTTTGTCGCTGGGCCTCCGGATGCCCAGAATGAATCCCTATAAAGCCTTATATTGGCAAGATACCTGACTTCTAGGAGTTCGCCCAGAAGCTGTACGATCCTAGACGCCTAAAGCCTTGAGTCAAAGCGTGATTTTTAGAGACCAGGCATGTTCAGCACCAAAACCTTGCAGATGCCGAAGCGATGAACCCCACAAGGTTGCAGTCTCGGAACCCGAAACCCTCAAACTCGAATCGCTCCAAAATTCCTGTGGAAGCTCGTCAGTTTTGACACAAAAGAAATTCTAGAGCCTCTGTAGATCAGAAAACCCCAACCCTTAATTCCGAATAGGCCTTGCGAATGCCGTGCACTTAAGTGAAGCCTTTCACGCCAGAAACGCTCAAGTCTAAATCCTTAATAAGGTCTTAGCCTCCTGATCCAAACGCTACCTAGTTCGGGAGTTTCAGAGAATGGGCAAGCCCTATATCCGTATAGTCTACACTCTCAATGGGGGGAATCCTTCTGCTAAGGAACACTGCAGTCTAGAGACAGCAGTACCTGCCAAGCTGAGCAATCTCTCGGAGCCCGTCTTGCTTCCGAAAATACCCAGGCTCGTCACCCGTAAACCCTTGGTCCAGACCTATTATCACCCTGAACACTGAGCCGGAGACCCTAGTGTTGGTGTCGAAGCGATGAACCCCGTCGCCGGACAATGCTTCTTGGGCAAGTCAAGCAGGTTCAAGGGGTGTGTAGACTCTTGGGGAATCCTGCATTGCGAGCATGGGAATAGCCCGGCCGGAGTCAAAACCCAAGACCGCACATGTTCTAAACCCCTGAACACTCCCTGAACCCTAAACCCTCGAAGCCTCAGCTTTCTTACGTTACTCCCGAGCTGAGGTATTGCGGGCCACCCGCGGAGCATCGGAGACCCAAAGGCTCCGTCGGCTCCATCTGTTGTTAACAGGGTCTAGGGTTTAGGGGTCAGCTTTAGGACCTAGGGTTTTGGGCTTGGGCTTTTGGGCTTCAGGTTTCGTGGCCTAGGGCGTGTTTTGAGTTTTGAGCTTAAGGTTTTGGGGTCCAGGGCTTCGGGTTGCAGCAAAGGGGGTGAACAGGCCAGCAGGCAGCAGGAAGATTAAGGGCTTGGAGATGTAGGGTTCGGTCATTGGTAGTATGTGTTATTGGGGGGGGAGGGCGAGTTTAGGCTAACATGTCTGCGCAACAAGAACCCCCTATTTTCCGGCCATGCTCTATATTACTATATAGCTATACCATGGTATGCTCTGAAGCCTCATCCCAAAAGATATCAGCTCCCCAGCGTTGCAGGATTTTTGGGTAGTTCGGATTCAATTTCTCGGCTCATGCTCGGGGTTCACTGGGGATTGAGATTCTAAGTGTTGTTCTTTCCCAGCACCCAAGGCTTCCAGGGACCACATTATTGGGTCCTTAAGGGGTCTGGGGCCCTAACTATAAGGTCCTTGGAGGCATAGGGGCAGAGTATTAAACCCTTAAACCTGCAAAATCCTGAGTTTTTCGCGTTGGAGTCCTGCTTGAGACAGGGCGTTGCCTGGGCGGGCCGTCCGGTCTACAGCAGATGGCCCGTTCCACTTATCAAAGGCCCTACAGCAGAACCAGAGCTCAATTACAGGCCAGAGCCCTTCTTCAGGCCGGGGGGTTTCCTGAGCCCTATGTCCACCAAACTAGTCCAGTGTAATCTCGCTGTGGCCTCATCTAGCGAATCGAGCCTTACCTTCATCCCTAAGCTCCTCAGACACCCTGAACCTTACGCCAGAAGCTTCCCGAGTTTCCAGCCTTCGTTTCCCAAACCTTGCACAAAGCCCTAGAGTTGTCGACATTTTCCCGCCTTGCTTTCTAGATGGCCTGGAGCCTCAGTGAGTTCAAAGGCTTTAGATACTTCGACTACGGTGCGTCCAGGCCTAGAGCATCGCACCACTCAAGTTGTTTCAGCGTAGCCCACGCAGCCCTCGAGTTCAGCAGCGGATTTTCTCTAGCAGCATTCTAGAAACATTGCTGTGATATGACAACGATCATGGTCGCATCGGTCGCAATACTTATCACATTGTTGGTAACACGTGAAAAAGGCATAAACTTTACCGTCTTTACCACAGTATGCAGAACAAAGACCCGATTGAGGTGTACCAGAACCTTCGAACAAACGACACTTGGCTGTGCTGGGAGTTGGAGCTTTGAGGCTGAATCTCGAGCAACCGACGAGAAGTTTAAGTTTACTTAGCAGTTGCGGCAACAAGGTGCCAACAACCCGTTTCTGCAAGGCTGGTTTGCGATTTGAGAGTTGAGCATCCTGAACCCTAAACCCTAAACCCTGAACCCTAAACCCTAAACCCTACTAAATCCTGAACCGCAAAACCCCAATTCTAGCCCTTCAGCCCGAAACCTTACTCGTAAACATTCAACACGGCATCCGCAGTTGTCGAAGACACGGTTCGGTTGCCTAGGTGTTTGCGTTTGGGGCTTCGATTTCAGGTTTTGCAGTCGTTGGAGTTTGGGGTTTGGGGTTTATAGAGCGTATAGGTTTTCGGAAACCTACCCAGACCCGAAAGTTACTACTTTCTCGGTACGATATCCCTAAAATAGGTTATCCACAAGGTGCCACCATCCCGAGTTCGGTTACCCGTTATCATCTAGGCACAATGTTTGTTTGCAAAGAACGAGCATCTTCCTTACATTACATGTCGGTGAGTGACAGGAACCCAATTTCAGCAGCGTATTGCTCAGACGGCGTGGGTCCCGGGGGCGCGGGGCTATACATATATATATATATATATATATGTATATATACATAGGTTGATTGGGCACAATACGGGAGGCTTTCGAACCAGAGTAGAGGTTTGGGGAGTACGAGCTCGCTTCACCCTAAGCTCTCTAAGCACACATGAAGCTTGACACTGGCAGAGAAGCAGTTGGACCGTCCGGAGAATCTTTCATTCCCATTAACGGAGATCTTTCATTCCCTTTCACCCAAGAGCCACAGACTACACCCAAAGCCCTTACTTTCAATCCCACACCCTAGATGCCAGCCATGCGAGAGGGAAAAATCCCACACCCTAAACCCGAAGGTGTGTAACTCTGAACCCTAAACCTCGCCCAAGTTGTTGGACTCGCTGAGCTTTTCCGAGCTCAGCACGATCCTGGTCACGGAATTCGGGGACCATGCCCCTGAGAGCGAGAGGAGCTCCGGGCGGATAGTTGAGTTGCCAAAGACTCCCAAACCCCCTAACTAAGGAATAACTGCCCTTGAAACTCTAATCTACACATGACTAAGTGTATATTCCTTAACTGACTTGTCGAGCACGAGTGACAAAAAATATTCCTTAATTCGTGGTTTTGGAGTCTTGGGGCACTTGTGTCCCTAACAGCCATATCATAAGAGGGACCCAGTCATTGGTCTTCGCAGCGGGGTCTGGGGAGGATTCCCCACCCGGAATCCTAAATTTAACTTGGGTTTCAGAGCCGGAAAAATCGAGGGCACATAGTCCAAGCTGAGCCACCTTGGTTTTATTGTGAAGTTTCGGGAATAGTGCGGGGATTGGGGAAGCTACCAGGACTAGCAGTAGCATGTAGAAGTGCTCCCTAACAGCCTCGAACAAACAAGACCAGCCTGTACTCCAAAACACGGTTCCAAAAATAGTCCCCTATACCCGGCTTCAGCAAGAACAAACTTGCATCTTGTTTACAATGCGGGCCTCTCTATCGTATGTAACCGGACCAGGTGCTTCGGACCAGGGAAGATCATGCCGACTGGGTTTAGGGCACTTTGCGTTGTACTCTTCGTTCTATGGTTCGATGTTCACTGTTCCGGCCGGCTGGCTTGATTTTCGAGCAGTAGCACATTGTGTCTTGTGGGCTGCCCAGAACCCTGAAGCTGCCTAGCTTATGTCGCTTGCAGCGTTTGTCAATAATTCTTACAACCGCCATCATAGTAGTTATTACACTGCTGTGATTTTTTGAGGAGTCTTTCCGGCTCCTGAGAGCTTTCGAGTCCGTGACCTGTGCAGTAGCCGTCGAGAGTCTACTTCTGACTCCAAGTTGGAAGATGAGATACCATTCTTTCTAAGGCAGTTGCAGAGGCAGGCTATTTTGTTAGGATGGAGCGTGCAGAACCTCAATAGTAGTAGCCGTAATAGTAAGAAAATGCTAATAATATGATAGTAACATAATAATAAGATATAAATAATACTATTATAGTAGTAACAATGATATAATGAAATTAATAACAATAGTGATAAACTGTTAAAACAATATAATGAAACAATAAAATATAGATATTAAATAATAATGCAACCTTAGCCCGGCAATCCTGTAGCATAGAAACAGGAGCCAAAACCCTCGGCGGAGTTGGGCAGACGCAGCCGACGCCCTGAAAGTCATCTCGCCGGACAGCAGTGCATGAATGCATGAGTATAAAGGGAACTCCAGAAAGTTGGAATATGGTTTCAGAGTAGGATACCCTATAATTTACCATAAAGGGTTTAGGATTATCATATTCCAACTTTCTGGCTTTTATTTTAAACCCATCGCCATTCCCAGCATACGGTCTTGCAGCTGTGATGACTTCGTCTAGCAGCCATAATTGGGTTATGACTCCGCACCTGACGCCTTGTGCTGGGTCCAGATTTGACAGCGTCGCACACGACTGTCAATCTTGAAACAGCCACAACATGTCGCAACATAGTGTTACGAAGCTTGTGCTGACACCACCTTGAGACTTCTTCAAACGGGGTCAGGCTCTTTCACTTTATCACTTTATCATACTGTGGCTGGCAAGGTCTCAATTGTGAGGCAGTGAAACCTCCCAACTTTTGGTGCTGGATCTCTGCATCAACATGTATTTGTTGTGTGTGCGTGTGTTTTCCCTCTCTGTTGCTGTCCAGAAACAACATGCTTTCTCCAGCCGGGTTTGTTTGTTGTTTCTTTGGAGTTTAGTTTACCATGTACAGCGCGTGCTTCCCGCGCATTCGGATCTAAGCCAGCTGCCATCGTAGGTTGCATTTCAATCCAAAATCCGGCTACCCCGTTCATTTCAGCCCTGGTGACCTTTTGTTGAGTTTAAAGTTTAAAGGCTGCCGGGCTCCGAAGATCTACTTTGAGGTCTTGTATCGAAAGATGCCGCAAAGCCAACAGCAGCGACTGGAGGACGTGGTGGTCAACATCCCAGTTCTGCTGGAAGGTTCTTTGGGTAAAGGGCTTTGCGGTGCAAGCTTGATGCGCGTCAAAGTTCCTTCGTTGTGCTCCGCTTTCCGTTTCCGTAGCGACCGACACCGCGAGGATGAGACTTAACGAAAGAGCTCAAGGCCCTTTTAGTGAACGGTAAATTTGCTTGCCGGGAATTTGTAGAAAGAACCCGAGAACTAACTTTGGTGCTTCGGGGCTTCGGTAGCGTCAATCAAAGGTTCACCGATTTCGGAAGGGTTGCCCGTTCCTGCGGTGTTCATGGCTTAGCAGTTAGAGGACCTGTCGTAGATGGAGAATCATTTTGCCTGGACGCTGTTCTGTTGAACTCTGGCTGTTACAACCCCATTCTTTTGAAAGGCCGATGGCTTATCAGTGATGATTCGAATCAGGCACTAGAGAGCATGCTTATCGGACTGCTCGATCCGTGCAGCACCATGTGGGAGTTTCCGAAAAGAGGGGGTACCTTATTTTGGGGCCCTTATAATAAGGATCCTACTATTTAGGGTGCAAAATCAGAGTCCCCTATGAAACCCCCATGCCGAAACCTCCACGGAAGCTGCCTTGGCCTTCAGGATTCGATCTTGAATGCCTGGTGTTCAGAGCTGTCGGAGCTAATGTACCGGCCAACATAATTTCCAATCATATTTATGGCACAGTATAAACTATTCCGATTGTTAAGGCCCCAGGCCCCCGTATTAGGTGCGGGGAAGATTGTAGTAAGCTCCACATCCCAGACACTCAACATCCCAAGGCGTTCCAGCACCATCCAAGGGTCCCAGCAGCTTTAGCAGTGAACGTCACACCGCAATACTGGGAGGACCTCCCCCGGACCGCAAATGCCACGTGAAGTACCCACCGGCTTGCATCTTCAAAGCAAGAGGTTTTGATGCGTCTTTCGGGCTGGAGGCTTTCCCACTTTGGCTGCTGGGTTTAATAATGCCTCACAGAGGAGTGTCGAATCGTTCTTGAAGCCGTGCGTTTTTAAGTTTGAAAGATATGCGGCTCCAGCTTTCGAGAGTCTTGGGGTTATACGTATTGGAGGTTCGGGTTTTGGGGCTTACTTAGCTTGGTGGGGCCCTGGGTTTGAAGAAGGGGCGGTTGGAATTAGGGCTCGTGGCTCAGGGGATTTGGAGTTAGGCTGGGTTTGGGTGTCCGGATATATAGGACTTGTCTGCTTGCGAACGTGATGGCGAATATTATGCTAGGTGATGCTCTTTCATATCACCGCATACATCTGACCCGCTGGTTGCCGCTGGGCTCATGCATAGGTCGATGGATCGATCGTGCTGAGTACCTTGGGTGGTGTTCTTCCTTGTCCGAGCCGTCACACTGATACTGGCATAGATCCCCAACCTGCAACCGAAAAGAATCGTGTACGTTAGACAGATAGGAACCATAGAACTGCCAGTAATTTGTTTGTGCGACTATGTACAGGCCAGGCGCCCCAGAACTACATGGGCGTCAGTCTCGTACAGGGGTTTCTCTCCCTTAGCCAGGTTCTGAGGCTCCTCCCACACTTGTCTGTCCGGTTCTTAGTAGGGAATGGGGGAATGGGTAAGTGGGACTACTATTGGGGAATATATAGGGACTGCTCTGGGGATCCATTCCCTACTAAGCACCAGACAGTTGTGTTTGGGAGTATCCGCTTGGGGGCAGCTTGTCGAGGATCCGTTTCTAAGGGATGCGATTTTTTCGGGTGGAAAATGGCGTCCCTTATTTGCCGAGACACCTTAAGTCTTAGTACTACTCCACTGAGCATGATGTGTATCATCATATTACCACCCCATCATCATCACCGCCATCATCATCATCACCATCAAGATCGTCATTAACTGCGTCATCAAAATCATCGTCACTGTTACAACAAGACCAATACTGCTCAAGCTTGCTGCCTGCAGCAGTCTGACTTGCCACAAGGCAATGCGCAGTGGCGACGACTGGAGATGTGCATGACGTACATTCTGGCGCTGGAGCATCCGGGTTATGAGTTTTCAGGCTAAAAGTCCACCGAACGGCCCAGATGGATTATTTGTGCTTCAGATGTTCAGCGTTGCCATGCACTTGGCTTACACTCTGGGTGTCATCCAGTTGAAGCCATGTTCCGTTGAAGCTGTTTCCAGAGACTGCTGCATATGAAGACATGCACACGCAAAGTCTTTTCCAAACCTTTCCACCCACCGTGCGAGGGATCGGTTGCCGTGTCTGTCGCGTGAACTATTCCCTATCAAGGCCTCCCCGGTCATTCTACACAGCAGCTACCAGGTACTGGCTCCGTTTGCAAAGTTTGCACATGCAGATCCCCGACAGTGTGCAGCTCTAAGCCCAGAACGAGCTCCCTGAGAATCCTCTTCTGTGAATCCTCTTCTGATGGGTGGCCATGATGACCTGAAAAGCACGCCTCTGCGAGTCCCGAACCACAGTCCCAGGGTCCAGGGGTTTTACGTCCTCTACTGCATGTTTCATTCTTCTGGCTGATCCCAAGCAAGCAGAGACCCGGTTCCCTTTGCCGACGAGTGTTTTGACTTAGAATCGAGGCAGCAGCGCAGCCGGGCATTCGATTGGATAATCCGTGTTCGCACCGACATGTTTTTCAGCTCCTTGGGCTGTGATTGGAGTCTACGGCCTGAATGGGGCATGTTCATGTTCGTGTGTGTGTGTGTGTGTGTGTGTGTGTGTGCGCATGTGACGGTGTAAGTGTGAACATGTTGTGCTATCGCTATGTGTATAAATTGCTGTGTGTGTACATATTCATGAATATATATATATATATATATACTTATATTTATTTATATATATATATATATGTATAACATGTACTTGTGTCTGTGTGTGTGTGTGTGTTTGTGTCCGTGTCTACGTCTGTGCATGGGTCGGCGTGTTCGGCCTCACGCTTCAAAACCTTTAACAGCATTTTGTTCGGAGCGGCCCACCCTGCAAAAAAAAGCAACATAGTCTTTCTTCGGTTCTCTACAGATGCCTGTCTATATCTACCACCCGTCTCAGCCCAAATATCTACATGTTGAGCTTGCACACAGGGCTCTACATACCAAAGAACTCCAGCTCTCATTGTTGCCATCTACTGTGGGCCAATCACTGCCACAAGTTGTGCTGGAACGGCGACGACCATGACGACGGCTAGTGTTACTCGTGGTAGTCGTCGGCGACGCCGTCGGCGAGTAAACCTACAACGATGTCGGTCACTACAGCACGTCTCCCTGGCCACCTGCATCAACACCAATCTTCTACCTGCTACGTTGCTCCTGCAGCTGACGAAATGGCCGGTGCTTGCAGATTAGTGGTACTCAAGGCTCAGCTGAGATTGCAAACGCACGAGTGGTGCAGGCTTTTTTGTGCATACGGCTGCATCTTGTCGGTGCCGGATGCGTTCGGCAACTGCTGAGTTTTTTTGAACAGCTCGGATTGGTTTGTCAGGGTTCCTTCGAAGTTTTCTTGGGACAGGATGCCGGAGTACAACCTACGTCAGCAAGGTTTGGTTGAGAGTAGCTCCACTTTTCTCGACAGCCGTTCGAATAAGAATTGCTTCAATTTTTCTTCAGGTAAACCGGTTGGCAACATCCGGGTTTTCGACCTCGACAAAGTTCACATGCCGGTCGGCAGCTGGACGGACCCACACGAGTCTTGGATTAAAAGTGCGGGCTGTCTGAACTTGCGCAGTGTACTGCCCGCGTCGTGTTGATGATCCGACCTGCTGTAACATCGGGCCTTCATGGTTAGAATAGGGTGGCGCTATAGTGTTTATTTATACAACCCTAAACCCTAAACCGGTATACCACAGTTAGATGAAGAACCCCAAAAGGTATTGAGCCGTGGTTGTTTTTTTCCGCGCTTCTTTCATTATGAGTAGGCCTGGAAATATGAATGGTTTCCGCCGAAAAAAACTGCACGGAACTGTGTGCGCGGAAGCACGCGGAAGCTCTGCGGAAGCAATCGGTCCGCGGAAGGTCCCGCGGAAGCTCCACCTTAAGATACGTCACAGATATCCCGAAGGCCATTCCGGGAGGATTGCAGGCTCCAGGTCCTTGTAAGAAGCAAATCATTCTCAGCATCACCACCACGCTCATTGTTATCATGCATTTTGCCATATCCATATATAGTTGTTCACAGGTGTTTGTGATCATCATCTGCAAAACTTTTCAGGATGACAGGGGACTTGCGCGGAAGCTCCGCGGAAGCTCCGCCGAAGGTGGAACCCTAAAAGTTGTTCCCAAGCCCTGAAGAGCTTAAACCGGATCTGGGATTGAAAACCGTTGAAAGCAAAGCCGCGCTGAAATTTCCTACCTCGAAGGCCTTAGACCCAATCATTGGAAACCGCCGAAATTCAATACCCCAGGGGCCTTAAACAGGTAGTTGGATTGGAAACCGAACACAAAATCCAAATTCCGTACCAGCAGTGCCTTACCCGCAAGTCTGGATTGGAAACCCGCCGAATTTCCCCATACCCCGAAAGGCCCCAGGGTTTACAAGCCGAAGCCCAAAGCCACCTAATTTTAAGCCTCTTCCGATGTGCTTGCTTGTGTCTTCGCACGCTTTATGTAAGCTTGCATCCTTTCTTGGTGGTTGAAGTTGTACCCGTGGTTTGCCCAAACAAACAGCCTCTTCAAGACTTGAGCCCCCACTTGCGGAAGCAAACCCCGCAAACTCAGCGAAACAACCCTTGCGGAAGGGATCCGCGGAAGCGGTATGCAAATTAAGGCCCGCGGAAGCAAAACGCTCGCGCGCGGAAGCATGCGGAAGGGTCCTGCGGAAGGGTTTCCTTATTTCCATCCTCACAAACACGGATAAAAACCACAGCTCCATTGTATTCTTCAGGCTTCTCTTTAGATCGTTCTCCCAGGGCCGAACTTCGCAGCATTGGGCAGGGGGAGGCCGGACAGAGCTCAGCTTGCTACAGAGCTACAAGCGCGCAGTGCAGGAAGCTACCACAACCCACTATTCCTAAGTCCTTTGTAGGGATCATGGAAATTAAGATTTCATATTGGGGTTAGAATTCCAGGGCCCTATATATGAAAAATGGTTTTGGCAGGTTGCGACATCCACAAAGAATCCCACGGCGTGTTTTGGATGAGGAACGTGTTTTACGACTGTTTGAACCGGCACGGTCGCGAGTCTGATTTTGCCTTGTCGTCAAGAGCAAACTAACTTGGAGAGTAAGGATACCTTTGCAATGCTGCCCCGGCAATATGCCGCGATCTACTTCAGCACGCCTGCCTCTCAGCACTGCTGAAGGTTCTTCGTTCGTTGCCAGCCATTACATGCATCGTTAGAGCTTTCGGATTTGGTCCCACGCCTCAGCTTTGAACATCTAGAATCTAGAAGACTATCCAGAGGCAGGCGCTCAGGCAATCACTCTTCTTGGGTGTTGTGGGGGTGGGGGTACGCGCGCCTGAAACGCAAAGTCTGTATGCAACGATGGAGTGATTCTGGCAGAGGGTGAGCCTGATTCTGCGGTTTTTTGCACAAGCGTCCTGCAGACATTATGTCGCCCAAAGAGAGCCCGTGGCACCTCCAGAATGTTTGCGAATCCCAAACCTCGAAACAGAGCACCTGCAGGCTGACCACTGGTGCTGTTGCAAGGTGTATTCTTTTAGGGTTAGATTTCTGAATGTTGAGCAAAGCCCGTGGGAGCAGGATGAGGGGTTGGAAGGCATGGGAATAAGGATCTGGATGGTTGTCTCGAGGCAGAATTGAAGCCTTTGGGTACTTATGATGGCAATATGCAGCAACATTAAAGCACGAACCCATGACATCCGTGTGGGTATAGTCCCCTCAAAAGAACAGGCGGCAATACGCTGGCACTGACTACTGCTGGAACTACTCCAGGGAGAACGTCAGGTTCCGCGCTGAAACTTGCGAGGAGATGTCAGGGGGTAGCGTCGCTCCATACCCAGCCACAATGCAGAGTATGTCAGGCAATTGTTTCCCATGCCGTGAGCTTTAACCCGAAACGGCATATGAGGTTCTGAAGTGAGGCAAAGTTAGGGGGCTGCCTCAGCCAGCCAGAGCCATATTCTGTGATCAGTCTTGCGTTTAGAGCCTGCGTCTGTGGAGGTTTCGGAGTTCAGATGTTGTTGCTTTGGGAATTGCGATCCTGGGACTCGCAGGGGTTTCGTTGATGATACTTACAAAGGTACAGAACATTCAGAGCTGCCCCGGGTATCCGGACCATTCGCATGCATAGAGAGAGAGAGAGAGAGAGAGAGAGAGAGAGAGAGAGAGCGCGAGACAGAGAGGGAGAGGGAGAGGGAGAGCGAGCGCGAGAGAGAGAGAGAGAGAGAGAGAGAAAGGGAAGGCATTCCGATCTCTCGATAGGCATCCGGGCTACGATGCTGTCTCGGCTGAATTCGGATTGATGTCACATTTCTGCTTCTCCACCCTCGGCCCGAACCTTAAACATCCTTAGACTGCAGATGCAAAGGTTGCTTGATGTTGTTGTGGAACTTTGGCACACGGGAGTTTCAGAAAATCGGGAACCCTAGTATGGAACCCGAATGAATCGACATATCCTGGCCATGGCGATCCCCAAGCACGACCCCGGATTTGCTGAAAACTTTGCATCTGCAGGTCTGATGATTGCAGCTTGGCGCAACAAAGCAGCGATGGTGAGGGAGTTGGTGATGATCCTACGGGGGATGTTAGGGCTGGCGAGAGCAGGAGGCAGGAGCCGAGTGAGGGTAAGGTTGAAATTATTTTGCGGAGGTTTTGGTTGCGATGGTCGCTAGTTCACTAGTCCAAAATGAACCTGATCACTCCCCATCAGTCCACGCAGTGATCTTCAGGCGCTGGCGGTGGTGGTGGAGGTCGTGGTGCTGGTGCTGGTGCTGGTGCTGGTGCTGCTGCTGCTGCTGGTGGTGGTTGCTGTTGCTGTTGCTGTTGCTATTGCTGTTGCTGTTGCTGTTGCTGTTGCGGTTGCTGTTGCTGTTGCTGTTGTTGTTGTTGTTGTCGTACTTTCGCTGATGGTTTGATGATGTTGATGTTAACGGTTCAGTTTGTGCTGCTGCCGAAGATGATGATGCCGATGTTGATGTTTATGATGTTGTTGTAGCCGTTGTTGTCGCCGCTTTTCTCAATGGACTATGCTTCGTTCATCAACTTTTTAAGGCGGAGAAGCAGCAGCAGCGGGATTTGCACATTATGATATGTTTTGCCATGGTCGCAGTCGTAGCAGCTGCAGTACTTCATTTTTGCAGCAGTGACTGCAGGAACACTTGTGGCAGTTGCAGCAGAGAAGCTCATGCGCAGCAATCCGGCGATACTGTGCCAAAGAGGTTGCTACCGACTGAGACTTCAACTTGAGAAGCACCAGGCGCTGGCGCGAATCGTTGACAGCAGCAAGGGTCGGAATTCCGGGTCGTCATTCCTGTTTCATCCTGTTTCTAGATGTCTTCTTGAAGGCCCACGTCTTTTCACATTTTCCGCCAGGTTCCCCCTGACCTGGTGTCTATTAACACCGTGCATCTGCTGCTGCCGCTGCTGCTGCCGGTATGTCTTGTGCTGCGTTTGGTGGGAGTACTACCACCTCGACGACGGCCAGGGCTGCTTCCATTTATCACTAGAGCTTCGACGACGACTACTGCAACCTAGCTGCTAAACACGAACCAACCGTCACCGACTGCTATCACATGTCCTACGACGACGACGATTACGACCACCCCTGTGACGCAGATAACTACCAAGACTATCCTGGAAGTGGTCAGCCCGTGCCAGTTAAGGGAAGTGAAACTCAGCGACTTCTACTGCTGTTAGGCATAGGAACCCGATGGGTAGCAGTAGCAGCAGTGTTCAATACTTGTGCTAGTAGCACCAGTGCCGGCAAAAGCCCTTTTTCGGCTTCTTACGACAGGTGCCCGTCAAACGCTTTGCTTTATTCTGGCAGCCTTGGGAGAGACTTGGCTCGAGTACTTTGGGGCTGTCGTGAGGCCGATATCGAAGTAGTGTATGTTCACACGTTCCTTTATATATGTATATTTACACAGGTATGTTGAAGTATGTCTGTGTTTTAGTTGTAGGCATAGACCGGCACTGGCCTGCTGAATCCTGTACTAACCCAATATGGTAGCGTGCATTTGTATTTCTGTGCGCATGTATGCATGAACAGACCCGATGCGAACTTGACGGATAAGTCGATGTCGGTGCGAATGGTTCTGAAACAAATTGAAAGAACGACAGAGTGGTAATAGGACTGATGTTTGTGGCCCCGACAGCAAGAGGACTGCGATTCGAATCAAATCAGAATTTCTCATTCGTGTGAATGCTGCCTGCGGGCTGGGCGCTTGTTACATTCGACGGAGGTCAACAGGAATGCCTGGTTCTCATTCCGACGTTAGTTCCGTCTGTTGCTGGACTTTGAACATTCAACCGAGTGCGGTGAGCGGTTCCGTGCAACTAAGGGAAGTCGACCGCTACATCGTGTGGCCCGGCTGTGTGGCTTAGGATCCCCAGTGAGCAAGCTCTCTCAAGGGTTTGAGGGTATCGGTCAGGATTCTCATGGATGTAAGCTACTGGTTCGATGGATTCCGATTTGTTACCGATTGTTTAGCGATCGGGCATTGGTAGTGTTGCTTGGTATCGGTGCTGTTCGGTGTCGATGTTGGGATTCGCGCTCTCTATGCAATCCAGCCCCTCCGCCCCGCCCCCCTTCCAGCCCTCCTTGGCGTCGTTTTATACCTGGTGATGAGCATCCTGTTTCTTATGTGGTATTGACAGTTGTGTAGTCTTATACTGGTGTGGGTTTTTGTGTGTGTGCAACACACGCTTGAACTGACAGCACTTGTAGTGTGCTTCCGTCCCGAGAGACCTCTGGGATTCGGGATGTGAGAGCGTAAACCCCTCTATGTGGAGCCTTGCCTGCCTTGGGCGAGAGTGAGCATCGAAACCCCAAACCGTCCAAAGTCAAAACCGAGGCGGCCTCCCGACACCTGGGATGGAAAGAAGAAGTACTCGCCCTAGGCGCCGAACTCTTGAGTCTGAGAGGGGTTCTTGGGCAATTTTGTATACAAAAAAATAGGGTGATAACGATAATTCAATATATGCCAAAGATAGTGGTAATCATAATGGTAGTAATGTGGCAGTGTACGAATTGCAATACAGGTCAGTAATTACAATTATAGCGATAACAACAAAAAGAACAACGTTTAGAACACCCAGCTGTCGACTTAAAAGTTCATTGTTGCCGTAAACTACAGCATGCTAACACCAACACGAGAACAAACATTCATACGAATGCAAATGCTAATGCAATTCGGTTCGTTGTCATTCTATACTATTCTGTACTATTAGATCTCATTCTACACGGTTCTATACTCGACTACTCTAATCTACCATAGTGGACTCTACTCTGCCGTACTGTACTATACTACATATGTTGGCTCACACCCTCCGTCAATCTGCCAGCCCCAAGAAGAGACGAAAGAAGAGATGAGAGTTTCCCACACAGCCTGCTACAGAACACAAATAGCTGTGTCATCAAGCAATGTAGAGACATTGGGACTTCGCTTGTCACCACACGACCATTGTCACCCACCCACCCAGCATGTCGACCGAAAGGTTCTCTTCAACCACTTCGACCTCCAATCAGAGATCGCAGCCGCACGTCGAATGCTGAGGCTTGGGCATTGCAGACAGTGGTCTTCGCAGGTCAGATTTGGGGCGTTTCCGCTCTGCGGTTTCAGTTTTTCTGTGACCTAAGAACTGTGTGTCCCTTGAACAACATAGCCGCAGCCTACCTAAATCCGATTAGGTGTCTGCAAATTGGCAGTAGTACTCCGTCAATAGGTCCCTTCCAGGCCTCTGCATCAAGGAATTCGAAGGTGTGGGGTCATATAGCTTGTTCATTGTGGAAATGAAAACGGAACAGGCGGCAGCTGCGGAAGGTAATGGCCTTCGTCCTTGAGGACAAGGCCAGGGCTGATGTAGAATCCCTCTCGCTCTCTCTCTTTCTTTCTCTCTCTCTCTCTCTCTCTCTCTAGAAATATGCGTCTAGGGTTTAGAGTTTAGGGGGTCAAGGGTGAGGGGTTAGGGGGTTTAGGGCGAAATGTTGATAGAAGTAAGAGCTTATCTTTTCTTTCGTGCACTCCTACCGCGAAGTTCTGCTCTACTAGCCCTGTAGACCCCATCGTCCCAAACTAGTCCACGTCCTAGTCCTATAGTTCATCCGAGGCCAGGTAGGTCCATGAGCCTTTAGCACTAAACCGCAAACCTCGCAGCCGCGTAACCGTTAGGCTTACCCTTCTCAGACGCCTAAAACTTTGCGCAGCCAGAACCCAGCGTAAAAAAGCGTCGTTTACCATCCTAGGGCCAAACCGAGTTTAGGATTTAAGGCTGGAAGGTTTTACAAGTCTTAGTTGCTCAGTGTTTAGGATTCGCGCAAAAAGGTCCGCTTCGCTCCAACAGATGCCGGCGCTTGTCTGGTTTCTGCTCTACTCTACTTTTTTGTTGCAGGGTGCTGATATTAATGTTTCGCTTTGAGATCTGGACCGGGGCTTTCGGATAGATGCGGAAGCCCGACCCCCAACGGGGTCTGCTGCCATCCGACACTATTACTATTCGGCGGCTTTTGCGGGGGAAGCATTGGCGAATTTGTTCTGCCTTTCGTAAGTATGCCAGGCCTTCCTGCGACACAGATAGTTGCCGCGCGTCTGCTCGGTTGGAGTTCGCAGCTTCCAACCTAAGTTTCCCTGAAGGTTTTAGCTTCTCTGTTAGCGGTAGATGGTTGGGGACTTATGACTAGCTGCCTAGGTACGTAAACTCTCTGTCGGTCTCCCCCAGTCTGTCTCCCGCAGAGTTTAGGGATTGCCCAAGTGTCCAAAGCCCTGCCATCGCAAGAGCGAATGTGTGCTGGAGCGCATGGGTTGATCTCCTTTCCCTTTCTGTCCGTCAGAGCGGTTTCACAGCCAGGCAGCAGGGTTCGTTGAAACCAGATATGGCCGGATGTGGAAGCCCTCGGAAGGAACTCTCGACCCTACGCTTCGGCCCGCTTGTGCAGGGTGGTCTTTGTAGATTTGCTTGATGGCTGCCTCTATCACGGCGCGATAGGGAATCGCTGATTCGGGATTGTGTAGCTGCTCAAGTTTTGCAGTCCTCCGTGGGTTTGGTAAACTAGACAAGGCCAAGTCTGCGTGTCATGTGGGTGGTTGTCAAAACTAGGGTCCCTTTTTGGGTCCTTAATATGGTCCCTTTTTGGGTCCTTAGTATAATACGGCACCCAATATTTAGGGTACCCAAAAAGGGACCATAATTTTGGCAGCCACCCGTGTCCTTCTTGTCTTTGACAAAAGCTACTCTTGGCTGCACTGGCGGCCTAGAGGTCGAACAAGCTTGAGAGGCTAGGACTCTACCCGTGGCCGAAAAGACCTACCTTTTTAAGGAGCTGTATACAGAAACCGAAATAAGGAACCTTGAAAAAGTGGGGGTCTTCCTTTTGAAGGAGTATACAGAAACCAAAATAAGGAACCTTGAAAAGGTGGGTCTCTTCGGCTACAGGTAGGACTTACATACGGTTTTAGGGTGTTGCAGGCGAGGACTGGACAAGGAGTGGGAGATCGACCAGAAACGAAGGACCGCGGTCGTGGCTGAGAAGTTTCCCAGTACTTTAGAGGGTTTTAGATTTCAGCGCCTGTAGGCTGTAGGGATCTTAGCATCAACAAGCTGTTCAGCCCTATGCCGAAGCTCCCTCGTGCGAAAGAAGCGGAAAGGGCCGGCGTTCAGCAACCTTTGGGCCGAAGCTGCCCCGCGGGCGTTCCGCATGCGCCAAAATGTTTTGGCTAACTTTCAGGTTGTAAGTGTGGATTTGTTGGTGTCGGGCTGGGTTACTTCGCCGTCCAGTTTTCACACGATGTTTTGGTTGCTACGGGGGCGTGGTCTTCTGCTTTGCTTGGCGATTCTGCACGCCATTGATCAGCACATTCAGTTCTGTCATGTTATGGCTCATGGGCCATGAGGCCCCCCTATGCCGTGCGAAGCTCATGGAAGCAGCAAACAAGCTTAGCTTCAGCCCATTCTTTTGAAGTTGGGTTTACACATCATTTGATTTTGTGCATTTTGGCGAGTGCATACAGGGATCCGGACATGTGAGCGGCACCGGCACTCAATTTCATGTCAGCAAGCCATCTACACAGGCTGTAGGCAAGGGCCACTGCCTAAGACCATGGATATCCACGGACTTTAAAACCACCCCAACCCTGTGCCTGGTTGGGGTTTCCGAGTGCGAGCACCGAAAATCTAGGAATCTAGGAGTCCGGAGGTTGACGAGATGGGGCTTCGGCTGTCAAGCCCTGGTCTGTTGCAACGATACCTCCCAACAAAAACTGTCGTTGGGGTCTAGGGCCTTTTTATCGTTTTCCAGAAATTATGTAATGGTTCTGGAATTGCCCTTTGTTTTCAAAAGGGCTTAGTCAGAGAATTAACGAAGCTGGAACTTCAGTCTGAGAGCCTGCTCGCTGCTTCCCGCCATGGTGGCACAACCTGCCATAGACTCTGACTGCGGGTACCTGACGAGCGAACAGGTCGGGACAGTCCAGTTTTGGCTTTATGGGTTCAGGGTTCGTTTTCCGCCTCTGCACGCTTTTGCTGTCTGATGTCTTTTCGTTAGAAAATAAACATCTGGAACTTGCCGACCTTGCTTTGAACCCTCCAGACCCCATGGGCACCAGTCGCGCAAGAATACTTCTTCAGCAGAAATCCAGAGCCTCAGCCCTAAAAACGTGAAGGCGAGTCCTTCGGCTTCGTTTGGAGTTCGGGAAACGATGTGGCCATCGTCTGAACCCTTTATTTCTGGACGCGTTGAGTAACCCAGGTTCAAAGAAGGAACCCCTTAGCTGCCTTAGCTGAGAAGTTTCCGTTTAGGCTTCCTGCTTTGGGTGAGTTTAGGCGGTCAACAGGAATGGCAGCACCGTATAGCGCCGTGTTTGTTGGGTACGGCGTGCCGTAGCGAGGGTAGTTTTGGTTGAGTTCCAGGTTTGCGAAGATTTGGTTGTAGGACTGGGGCACCCCCAAACCCGCCAAACAGCAATTCCAAAATCCTGGCCATCCTCCCCAAGAAGTGCCAAAGCCCCAAGATATCCCAACTGAAGAAGCAAGATCTTTAGTGACGAAAGCCCCGGCGCCACACACAGCGCGTTTGAGATCGGCAGTTCTCGTCTCGCTGGTGCTCTTGTAGCCCTGGTACCACCCTACCAGTGAGTCCATAGCCCTACCTGTAGCCGAAACGACCTACCTTTTAAGGAACTATATACCGAAGCCATAAAAAGGAACCTTAAAAAGGTAGGTCTCTTCGGCTACAGGTATAGACCCTATCCGGCCCTTACAACCCTAAGCCCTCGTTGAGATCAGGTTTGTTCGGGCCTCGAGGTAGAAAACGTTTCGGCCTCTCGGCTGGAAAGGCTTCCCTCCGCGCCGGCACTAGCGAAGCCCCCAATTCTTAAGCCTAAGGGCCCACACACGATAAGAAGACTCGACCCTATATAACCCCTTAAAATCTCAAGGCGAGGCAAGAAGTAACTCTCAAGTGGACACACAGACACACACATGCACACACACACACCGTACACACACACATGCACACACCCACACACACGTACACGCACACACACACACACATGTACAAACACACACACACACACACACACACACACACCGTACACACACACACACACACACGCCACACACGCCACACACGCACCCACACACACACACACACACCCACACACACACACACACGGCCTAGATCCCCAAGCCTAAGTCGATGTGGTAGACTCAGAACACAAAGGGGACTTACCTCGCTTCTGGATGTCGCTCCTTGAAAAATGCGAGAGGGAAACAAGCCCTAAACCCCCAGACCTAGGCTTTAAGCCGTCCTCATATTCGGATTTGTTTAGATGTCCTTAACAAGGATCGGGCAGTTTCTGGAACCCCACAGGTTTTGACTGAGGCAGTGGCCTTCCAAAGCTTCTTGGTGATTGTGACAAAGCGCAGGCTGAGAGCTGCGGTTCTGTAGCTTTGGGCTTGAAGCCAAAAAGGCCTCGATCCCCAACACTAGGACTACTAGGAGCCCTGGGCCAATCAACTCTGAACCTGATGCAACGCGGGCTTCGTCCTTGCTAGGTAGGAATGAAAAAAGCATCAGACCTCAGAACCACGCCCCGGGTAAGCTCGTCTTTTCATGTCCGGACGTTTGACTCACTCAGGTCTGTGGCTCCAGCTTTCGGATCCTCCGACGCAGGCATGAGCGAGATGATTCCCTTACCATAGAAGCCGAAATATTCTTGCTTGGGGCTTGAGGTTCCTTGAAATGATTATGTAATAAATACAAGAGACCCACGTTCAGGCCCCATGTCATTCATGAGCCCAATCATTTAGTTTGGGGGAGCCGAAAAAGCCGATGGAGTTTCATGAAAACGACAGAGCTCATGCAAATGCCGCAGCGGTGTCACCTAGAGTAGCATCAAGGTTGCACAATTAATGGCGCGGTTGCTACGGACAGTTCGTCACTTGCCCACGAATTATAGAAGCGCCTGCCGTCGAAGATTGCTGTTTCAGTCATAATGTTGACCATGAGAATGGTGACGACGTGACGAACGGTTACCCCTTTAAACATTGTGTCCAGACCACCCTGACCCAGCAAGGGGGGTCTTCTTGCCACAACCTCCACTCGCCCAAGTAGCGAGATGCCCTGAATCCACAGAAGTTCTCCAAGACAGGACGGACTTCTTTGCGGCTGTGGCCGGAGACTTGCCCCTTTCTTCCACCGGTCTGGTTCTCTGGGAGACACTGTGCTGCAAGCTTTTGGCCATTGGACTTGACGGCACGCACACATCTACGTATGTATGTATGTATGTATGTATGTATATATATATATAGATATATATATATATATACATTTATATATATATATATATGTGTGTATATATATTATACTGTACTAAAGCAAAAGTTCATATCACACAGTGCAATATGGAATGTAGTAGTTAATGATACAGGACTATACTTATATACCGCAGATCCTGGTACGACTCCAAGGAGTGCAGTCCTTCTCGCAGAGTATCTGGGATACGGCGGCTTCCTGTCCTGCGGCTTGCCTTTTCTATTTTGGGATCTTGGGACAAGTTCGGCCAGTCTGGAGATTTCTTGTCAGACGTTTGTACGTGTCGGATACCAGTAAGCAAGACATGACATCAGCGCACACATACACACACAGCTTTACATATGTATTTCCGTAAATCCAAGCATGACATACAAAAAACACTCACGCACATACACACATATATACATACATATACATATCAGGTACATAAAACTTTACATATATATATATATATGTATGTATAAGTATACATACATATATGCATACGTATACATGTTCATACACATACGCACATGCATATGCATATGGATACACGTTTACATGTGCATATACGCTCTCATATACATATGCCCACACCTATGCATATTCATTTACATATGCATATACATATACATACATGCATAGATGCATACATACATACATACATACATGCATCCTTCCGTGCAAGCATGCATGCATGCTTGCATACATGTTTGCCTACATGCATGCGTGCATGCATGCATGCATGCGACGCACGTACATGCAAACCCATGCACATGTTTGGAGGCACCTGTGTATGTGTGTGTATATATATATGCATATACCTATTCACTTTTGTATGCATATATACATATATATATATATACACACTTGAACATATAGATGTAGATATAGATAAACATGCATAATTTCATGCAAACCCATGCACATGTTTGGAGGCACCTGTGTATGTGTGTATATATATATATATACATATACCTATTCACTTTGTATGCATATATATATATATATACATATATATATATACACTCGAACATATAGATGTAGATATAGATAAACATGCATAATTTCATGAAGACCGCTATGTTTGTGCATTCGTTACATATTTGCACCAAGGCGTACATATACAAGCACCTTGCACTGAGTTGCACATCTTGTTTTGGCATCTTTTCATGCACTTGAGGGTATACAATTGCAAGTGCCGCTGCCAGTGCTTCAGATATTGGAATCAGTATCTTAATCGGCACAGGAGAAGGAGACCCGTCATGGTACGAGACAGCGTCTATACATGAGACAGCCGACAGTTGAGATTCCTGTCATATTCCCACGTACAGCCAGCGCACGTTTCGTAAATCCAGCAAACTTGGCACCGATGGTTGGTATTCCTGACAAAGTAGGGAGGGTTGACAGTTTGAGATTTCTGACTTGGGGTCGCTGGGGCACACAGTTTGGGGTTTCGGGGCTATTGCTAAAGTGGTCGGTGTGGGTGTGTAGCCACGAGTGCTACAGCATTCGCCGTTCCCCGGCAAGATTTCAAGAGGCCTGGATGCAAAAGGGTTCAGGAATGAGCCCCCGGGCGACGAAGCAAGCCCGATGCAAAGGGTTTAGGAATAGCAGGCCCAGTTGCAGTGCAACCTATTTTGTGACCAGTTCTGTTCGATGTAGGAGACTGTCTGAATCTGCATTCGATTCACCATGGATTCGGATATTGTTTTGAAAAGAAACTTGTTGTTCAGGTTCTTGCATTCGTCTGCGCTGGGCAGGGCAGCGTCGTCCCTGCTCACAGGTGGCTTTGACCGGTCGCAGACCACAGCGCATGCCAACCCGGTGACGCTCAGAAAGATTCGGCTTCGGACTCCTTTGAGATGACTTGTCATAGCATAGGGGTATAATTGCCAATGCCATTCCTTAAGGATCCTGGATATACTATAGATCACCATTGTACAAAATAATTCAGAACGGATTACCCCACAATCCTGTGTTATGTATTACGGCCCTATACTAAGATATCGGATGTAGGTTTCAGGATGAAAAGCTTGATTTGGGCTCGAGATCGCAAGCTTCAGGGAAATGGTGTCTCACGATAGTGTTTGTGTTTCTGGTACTGTGCCCGGCAACATGCCGACCGTATGATTGCCCCTCGTTGTGGGTCCGTCATCCGGGCAGGGGATAGCGATGCGGGAGTTCAAATCCTTACATCCGCCTTTGCCTCGCGTTTTTCGGGAGCAGGCTCTCCTTTGCCAGGTCCATGAAGATCTATAGACTGTCTATTTCGAGATGCATGACGGGTCGACGTCGTCTGCTCACCTCCTCCTCCTCCTCCTCCTCTTCCTCCTCCTCCTCTTCCTCCTCCGCAGTAGCTTCATTACTGTCATCCACGTCGCCCTCGGAATTAGTATGTCTTCATCAAGCTGAAGCTCATCCTCATCCTCGTGCGCATCCTCCTCCGCTCCGCATGTTGTCCTTGATCATGTCTCATTTACGCCCTCCTCACCATCAGCGCGCATAGCAAAGGAAGTGGTGGCTGACCCATCCACCTGCTGCTGTGGTGCCCTCCAGATTTTGGAGGCAGTGGCCTCGAAAGGCTACCGAAAGGCTTCGGATGAAACTCGCCGGTAACAACATAGCGGTCGGATCAATGCATAACTGCGTTCGTTTGGACTCCTCATTCTAGGCATGCTATCATGTGGCCCCAAAGGGCACCTATATTCGGCGTAGCTTGCTCCACCGTAGCCGTCATCCCCCGCCATGAGCCCCCAAAATCCTTCGTAGCCTACCCAGGACTTTTTCGGTCGTCGTCGTAGCCCCAATCAGGTAAGTCTTGAACCTCTCAGCCCTAAAGCCCTAAACCTCGAACCCTAGATGCCTTATGGTGCCTATTTTCGACCCCTCTAAAACGGGAAGCCTGTTCTAATTCTTAAGAATTGAATAATGAGTCATGTACTTGAAGTACATTAAGTAATGTGAACTATCATAATTGAATCATAACATAATACGACCCTTTATAGTAGGCCCTTGCAACCGTAGGGCTCCGAGCCGAGGCCTCCGCGGCCTTGCTTAGAAGGGTCTCTATTTAGGGCTAAGGTGCGTACTTCGGATTTACTGTTTAGGGAAAAGGATCTAGGATTTGTAGGGCTTGGGGTTTCCGTCGCGAGTCAGCTGTCCTGGCGTGACGTTGCAAGCCAGTTGCAAGAGGGCTTGGGGTTCAGGCTTGACGTTTCGGGTGCCTAGGGAGGGAGGGAGAGAGAGAGAGAGATATATATATATATATATATATATATATATAGATAGATAGGGAGGGAGGAAGGGAGGGAGGGTGTAGATTGTACGAGGCCTCCTTTTTTTTCTCATGCGTTTCAGTGCCATGAGGATGTGGCCGGTATAGGGTTTCTCATTCTGCGGTGTACGGGCGCCCAGCGTCCCTCGGCCCAACGCTATGGACCTGTAGGTCAGGGTATTGGCCTCAAACCGTGAGTTTCATCTCTGCGCAGCAAAGCTTAAACCCCAAACCTCGAGCTGTGGGTGCTGAAACCCCCTCAGCCCTAGAACTCCCTTGGACCTTAATGACCGATAACAATGCAGAAATTTAGAGCTTCATCGCTGGGTACAGACACTCGCCGGGGAGGTCTCAGACGCGGCCGGTGCTGGAGCTCGGGGGTGGCCCGGGCCACAGAGGTTTCGGGTTTAGGGCAGGGCTTCGGGACTTGGGGGCTAGGGTTTGGGCTTTGGGTTGCATGGGGTCTAGGGCTGGTTGGGCCCAGGATCTTCACGGTTGATGCGAAAGGGCCATTAAGATGGCTTCTGAATGCATGATGCCAGTGAAGTGTATGCTAAGCCCGAGAAGCCCCAAACTCGCAGCCTCGAAAGAACAACTGGAGGTAAGGCTAGAGTTTGTAGGGTTTCAGGGATATTCGATGAGCGACATCCCTTGTCGAACTCGTTCGAAGCCGAAGAACACTCCCTATGTGCAAAACACTTGTCTAAACTATGAAGGCCACACCCAAACCTCAACCCAAAAGCCCAAAGTTCCGCAACGACAACCTTCATAGGATCTCTTAAACGAATCCATAAGCCCTAAGCCTTCACCGAGTCCCATAGGGTTCTATATGAGAGCCCCCCTACAGGAACTCTTACAGTAGAGGCCAGAAAGTTGGAACATCATTATCCTCATGCCCTTAAGGTAAGGTATAAGGGATCCTAGCATTAATCCTCCTGAAGTCATGTTCCAACTTCCTGGGGTTCACTATAAAGCAACCCTTTTAGAGGAGCCCAGAATCAGGAGCCGGCCTGGTCACTGCAGCTCTGGCTTCCCTCGGCGCTTATGTGGTCTACACGGAGCGGTGTTCTAGTCTCCATATGTGTATGCATGCATAAACACACATATGTATGTGTAGATATATATATATATATATATATGTCTACATACATTCACATGCATGTATATACATGTTTAAACGATTATGTATACAGACTTGCATACATACGTACCGCAAGTTGCGGGCTGCAGGTTTAAGGTTTAGGGCTGCAGGTTGTGGAGATTAGAGTTTAGGGTCTTGGCTTCAAGGAGATCGGGCTGCAAGTTTTAGGGCCGCAGGCTTAGATTACGATTTGGGTTTGAGGGGTTTTGGGCTGGAGATTGCAGGTTTTAGGAGGAATTGTCAACTTTTGGAGAGTATAGAGGCCTGAATAATCACCATAATAGTCTTCCTCGCGGTTCCTCAATGACGTTTTTGATTCTAGTTCTGACCCCAGACCGTTCATCCTAAATCTAACTATGCAGGCCTCTAAGACGAGTAAGTGTAACTTGGGACCGGGAGGGTTTGGGGTTCAGGGTTAAGGGATTTATGAGGGTTTAGAGGTTTAGTTTAGGAGCTACAGGTGCGACACATCCAGGCGGGATTCACACAAGCCTGTGCAAGAAGGAGTTATGAGGATTTAGGGGTTTAGGGTCTAGGGTTTACAGGTTTGTGGTCTGGCTGGACTTGCACCTGCACAACCGACACCCAAACCCCAGACCCCATCAGCAAGCCACGTGCCGTGTCCAAATAAATCCTCCAGCTTCTGTGCTTTTTTGAGGACGGCGATCTTGCAGCGATCGAAACGGCAACGCTGAATTGCAGGAACGCCCAGGCAAGACATGGAAGGATGAGGCAGCTGGGCGTAATTGCAAAGTTCTCCTGGCCGGGATTTGCTGTCGCTCAACATATAGAACTAATGGCCTGAATCATTGGCTTTTTATTCGTCAGGAACTCATCATTACATGTTACAGTCATAGCAAAACATACCACCAAGACCCTTTTCCAATTCTTAAGGTAGGTCAGAATGCCATATATATATATATATACATATCTATATACACACATATATACATATATATATATATATATATATAGAGAGAGAGAGAGAGAGCAAGAGATGTGTATATATATATATATATATATATATATATATGTATACATGTATATACATAATACTCCGGGTGTGGTTTCAATTTATTTTTTTTGGTAAAATTAACAGCATTTTGTCACATTGTGTAACATGTGTTCTAAACTCTCTCTTGTATATTCTTATTGAGCTGGATTGTATAATGCAGTTTGTGTCGTTTTCATTAGGTTCTATAAGACGCAGGAGTGTATGCTCCGACACTCCAAGTCGTAAACCCTCGGATGCGAAAAGCCCCGCGGCACACCTCAAATCCACCCCTTTAATCCTAAATCCGGAACCCTAAATTCCAGAGCCAACCAACCTTCACAATAACGTCAAAGACAACCATAAACAACCTGAGCCCCACGCCTGAGGAAGCGCAGGCGGAGGTCGAAGGAGAGAGACGACCGGGAAGAGATGCTGGGAGGCGGCTCCTGCGTCTTCAGGCACTGCCGGCTGCAAGGGTTTAAGGGCTTTAGGGCTTGGAGGTTGACCTGCTTTGGTATGTCGGGTTTGGGGGGCTTTAAGGTTTGGGAGTTTAGGGCTTAAGGGCTTTAGGGTTTAGGAGATTGGCTTTCTTCAGCTTAAGGCTCAGGCTTTGCGAGATTGTGTTGGGTCTCTGCAATTTCGGGATATGTAGAGGCTCTGGGGCCAGGGTGGCTTTTCTTGACGTGGGATTCAGCTTGCGAGCTTGTTTCACCTGGATCTGTCTAATATAAGGGCCTATAAACAATTACCAATACTCTTTTGGGGGCTCCTTGTTATAGTTATAGTATATTGGGCCCCAAAGCCCTAGTCGAACTATTGAGGCCCCTACAGTATTGGTATGAGGTCAGATTGGAAGGTATCCCTCGGCTGAGTTGCACGATGTGAGCATCATTGGACGCCCTAGCCCTAAATCAAAAGCAGCGATCCTAAACCCTGGAGGTCCTCGCCCTGGATCAAAAGCCCTGGTACCCTGCAGCCGCCATGAACTCCAGACCAGTAACCCGGGCCCAGGACTGTCCAGTAGTCATGATGCAGATACACACATACGGGTGGTTGTCAATATTAAGGCCGCTTTTGGGTCCTTATTATAGTACGGCACCTAGCATTTAGGGTACCCACAAAGGGACCATAATTTTGACAACCACCCATACGTGCATGCATGCATGTGTGCATGCATACCGAGACAGACAGACAGACAGCCAGCCACGCATCCACCCTGCCTGGCTGAGCCTTTAATACTTCAATTGTCTACAGACCTCCCTCGTATTGCCGAGTGTGAGCGTCAAAAACCCATAAACCCTAAGCCCTAAACCAAGGTCTTGCCAGGCTTGTCCGAGTGTGAGTGTCCCCTAAACCCCTAAACCCTAAATCCCTAACCCTAAATCCCGAAATCGTTAAACCTTAAATCCCTAAACCCAGAATCCCGAAATCCTTCCGAGGCGCCTGGCTTTCGGCGAGGTGGAGGCTGCCCGGCAGCTGGTAGAGGAACTGGGCCCCTCGCACTGCAGACCTCAGGGATTTAGGGTTTAGGGCTAAGGGATTTAGGGTTTTAGGGATTTCGGGATTTGGGGTTTAGGGATTTAGGGTTTAGGGATTTCGGGATTTGGGGTTTGGGGTTTAGGGATTTAGGGTTTAGGGCTCAGGGGATAAGCCCTGAACCCAAACCCGAAAGCCCTACATCTTACCCTAGCAGTAGAGTAGGTAACCTTGAACCTGTTTTGGGGTATATAGCCCCTATGTAACCCCGATATAACCAAAAAGGTTAACCTTTAGTTCCCCATGATACCCGACAAGTAGGCTAGGAGACCCACATCCGAAATCCCCGAAAGCAACTCCAAGGTCCTTTCAGCCATGTGGTGGGCAGTGACCTCTTGTGCGCTTGCTGTGTTGCTGGACAGGGAGTGTGGTTCCGGATCCGGCGAACCCTAAACCCCTAAACCCGAACTATCAGCGCTTACAGCATAAACGTCCAGGAACGCTCCGCATGGAGGCTTGTAAGCAGCGCTCTGTGCGCAGAAGAAAAGCCACCGAAGTTCGGCTCAGCGGGCTCAGGTTGTTCGTTGTCGCGGTTTGAATCTTCGGGGCAGGAGCCGTTGTGCCGATGGCACATAGCGGACGCCTGGACAGGTACGGGGACAAGGCGCCACCCGGGCCACTACTCGACACCCTCAGTGCGCTTGCCGAGGCATTGCTGCCTGTATGACTCATGCTTAAAAGCTTGGTGTCCGTGGGTTTACGAATGCTTGCGTCGCAAGCCCGCAAGCACACAGCCAGGATCTGTGGAGTCATTTGCGTTTTTGTGCAAAGCACGTGATTGTCTTTGGCTTGGTGCTATGGCATGTTCTGCTGCTCCGGTCGTGTCTTGCAGTTTCCGAAAGTCGATCCATATGGCCAAAGTCAGGCATCACTAACGCGCAGACTTTGCACCCCATCGAACACGTCGTTCTGGTTGAGCCACAGTAGGAAGATGTTGCCTGCCAAGGGAGGCGTTGAGGGTTTAGGGTTGTTGTGTGTGCCCTGGGTGCAAGTTCTGGGCCATAGTTGAATCTACTGTCACCTGTACGTGCCCAAGCGTTTGCAATCACTGCTCCCCGCCATGCTCTTACACAACGCCAAGCTGGTGTTTTCTCAGGACTCAAGTATGTATACTTAAACATTTAGTTTAGCAATCGTCCACTGCATGTTATAGTGGCACGCATATTATGAGACCATTATGACGCCAGATTCTCAGAGCAGGGAGAGAGAGGTCAGCCATGTGATCCCCCATCCCTCCATCCGAAGACCCCTTAAGTCAGGCACAGCAGAAGTGCTGCATAGAGCCTTTCCTGGTTACGCTCGCCATCAAGAACCGGTGCTGTGACGAAGTGGAGGCCCTCTGGTATAGTATAGTACCCTATCGTACTGTACCCTATAGATCCCTTATAGTATCGCTTCTCGCCTGGTATTGCCGAGTGTGAGCGTCAAAGAAGGACCGGTTACAGTAATGGAACCCTATGATGTGTAAGGCCCCTAGCCTCAGCCTCAAGCATCTTACTTAGTGGGAGGCCTTTCAAATGGCTATGTCCCGTACGTGGGGTTAAGGGTTTCAAGCATTTGCGGTTTCAGGCAGTGCGGTTGAGGGCTCAGGGTTGTTTCAATTTTGGGGCTGCGGGTTTCCAGTTTCAGGATGTGTGGGGTTTTGGGTTTAAGATTTGAAGGTCGTGCTTGCAAAAGCCAAGCCCATGAAGAACGAAGACACCCTTGATTTAGGACCCCTAGGTATGTACCCTTAATATGGCTATTATGTTCCCATTATATAGCCCCATTATGCGGTAGGGGTCCCAATTAAGGCTCCCTCCTTTTTAGCGGCCTGAGCGATTGAAGCAAAAGGCAGAGCAGAGCTGGCTAGGCAAAATGGGTTACGAGAACCACCGCCGTGCGTAAAGATGTTGAGCCACCCTAAACCTTAAACCCAAAACCCTAAACCCTAAACCGTTACCCAATTCGACAGTTCGAGTGCGGGTAGTTGCCCCGTCTTTCTCGTAATCCTGCCGATGCCTTCTCATGACCACTTGAGAATGCCTTCCAGGCATGTGTCCCAACACCTCGGTTCAAAAGGTGATTTTCAGTTTTAGGTTTCGCCTTTGATTCCAGACCAGACCCCCTCCAGCCTGCTCAGAACAGTTAACCTTGAACCGTAAACCCTACGCCCAAACCAAATACCCTAAACCAGCGACCGGAAGGCTCCTTTGTAAATGCATGTGAATGCCCCCCTGAACCCTTGCATAAAAAGTCCCAGTTAAAGCATGACCCGTAAACCTTCACCCTAAAGCGTAAACCTCAGCCTTAACCAATTGGCCTCCATCTTGGCTCTCACAGCCTCCGCCAGGCCTTTGTCGCGGCCGCAGAGCAGCGGCAGAGATGGGAAATCCATGTAGCAGATGCCAGCACCCTGCCAGAGAGCTACTCGGAGGCTCCATGTTAGCCGCGGATATGGGTGTAGACTTTCGGCCTCACAGGTGTTTAAAGCCATCCCCGCCTCATCTGAGAAAGTAGCCGCACCACGGAGAAGTGGCGGGGGAGCGGAAGGGAGGGAGGGGAAGAAAGCACCGGACCTCGGGTTCGAGCCTCAACCCTTAGGGGTACTTAGAACTTTTTTTTAATTGTTGGTTATTATAATTCTTAAGGAACAGCTAAAATTACAATTTTTGCTAGGGTTCTAAGTTCAGTATAGAGCCTCCTCGCACAGCAATGGCATAGTTGTCTTTAGATTTGGATCTGTCGGAAGGAGCTCCCGATCCACTATCGACGTAGCGATGTGATTGTAAATCCCACGCCCTGAATCGCCTAAGTTCTCAAAATCTGGTGGCCCCATGCATGCATCGGCGCACTCGTCTAGACAGCGTGTCCGTAACCCACACCCTAAACTCAAGCGAGGTTGTGTAACTCGGGGGTTCTTGTAGATTGGCGGAGGATGCCCCTTGTGTGGTGTAGCTTGTAAACGATAAGAAGTAAAACGAAGCTAATCTTTGAATGTCTGCTACATGAGTACTACTAGCAGTATGTGATACGGAAGTGTAGATGGGTACCCAGATGAGTAAGACATATCGATAACGCAGTTTGGGGATAAGGGATGCAACCTGCAAGTGTAGAATTGGGTGTGTTGATGGTCTTGCGCTACGTTCGCCCATTTTGTTGTGGTCTGGTTGCAGATTTCGTTGTCTGGCAAAACTTGAGTCCAGCAGCAACAAAAAAGCAAGCTGCTTATGGTGCTTCTGGACTATATGCATAGCAGCAGAACCGAGAAACTCCGCAACAACATGAGCTAAGGTACTGAGCTAAGGTTCCCGCTTTATCATTGCCGAAGCCCCTCCAGCCTGGTAGATGCCCTCGAAGCTATGTGAGCTTAATCGGCTGATGCCGGCCAACCTGTGTCTAGTTCCCAAAAGCTTGTGCAACCTCGATAGACAGTCGACGAATGTTGTCGCTTGGGGAGTGTGTTTTCACAGAACATCGCCTAGACCCCCAAACCCAAAACCCTAAAGTCTGAAATTCCCATCCCAAAATACCCGAAACCTCGAAACCAAAACCCTAAAGTGTTAAATTCCCGTCCAAAAGCCCGAAGCCCCGAAAGCCAACCCAGGTTTCCAGCGTGCGGCTGAGGGTTTCTACGGCTGCCAGGAGAAGGCCCTGCTGCTCTGCGGGGCAATATGTTTACCCAGACCCCCAGGAGGATCTAGAAAGTAGATCCCCTAATTTGGGACCCCTATACTACTATAAGGGTACTCTACAGGAACCCCGATTAAGGGATATACTTTTTGGAGTTTTGCGGGGGTCTGGGTAGTTTAGCAGTCAGTGCATTGGCTCTGGGCTGGCGCTTGCAAGGCTTGGGCTGGGGAGCTAGTTCTGGCACTGGCCTGGTGGGAAAGGGCTATGGCTGTCGCATGTTATTGCTATTGGTGGTGTTGGTGGTATTGGTGGTGGTGGTGTCGGTGGTGGTGGTGGTGGTGGTGGTGGTGGTGGTGGTGGTAGTGGTGGTGGTGGTGGTGGTGGTGGTGGTGGTGGTGGTGGTGGTGGTGGTGGTTGGCTTGACGTGTGAGGCGATGCTGCCTTTTCCAGCAGGTGCCGGGTAGCCGTCAAGCCAAGCACGACGAAATCCGAGATGCATCTAGAGCGCACTGCAGCGGAGCTGGGCGGTATCGTAGCTCAGCTGAGGTGTGCTTGCGTGCGTGTGTGCGTGGGTGTGTGTGTGTGTGTGTAAAACTTGCATGCCCAATTATACAAGCTGTACTGGTCACGGCATGCCATGCTGCAGCACTGCATGGAAAGAATGGTACCCATGCCCAAACATAACGACTGAGAACTGCATGGCTTACTCAGACTTGGTTATCGCTCAAACCCTGAACCAATCTCAAGTTAAAGGGCTTCAACCAAGGCTTGGCAAAGCTTTAACATGCCTTGAACTCCACGCCCCAACCTCCAAGGCCTTTTGCAGATCTGTCAAGGGCCCAATGACTTACCCTGAACACCCAGTAGTAGTGATCTTATAATATATATATATATATATATGTATGTATACATGATATATACATACATATATAGATATAGATATAGATATATATATATATATATATATAGATAGATATCCCAAAACGTCGGTCTAAGGAAAAAACCTTAGTGCCCAAGTCTGGACTAAGAGACGGTTTTGGCTCTTGGGGCCATGATAATGATTATCGTATACTGGGCCCTAGACCCTAAACCCTGAAGCCCTGTAGGCCTTGCCTTAAACCCAATTAGCCTACCTGTGAGCCCCTTATAATCCCTAAACCCTAAACCCGCATGCCCTTTTTTTGTTCTCTCTGTAGAGTCAGCATGTCGAATTGAGGAGCGCGTCGCCAGACTCAAGCATCAACCGGCAAAAACCCTAATCATCGTAGAGTGGGCCCTACACCCTAAACCCTACACCCTAAACCCAAGCGAAAGGCTGCGTATTGCATCGTGCACCTTCGAGCCGCGGGCTCCCAGAGGCTTGGACTTCAGGGGATCGTGACGGTTTACCCTACCTTAAGCCGGAATAACCTACCTTTTTAAGGACTCATATAAGGAAATCATAATAAGGGACCCTAAAAAGGTAGGTTATTCGGTGTTAAGGTAGGGCTCTACGGACTCATAACCCACACATTAAGGCTTTTGTGTCCAGAGACCAGGCTATTGCGTTTGGCGTTCAGGCTCTAGGGTTTGGGGAGTGTTTAGGGTGGGGTTAGTTTCGTGGGGCTTTGGGCTTTGGGGCGTTGGTTCTGGGTTTTGGGGGTTTAGGACTTACCCATGGCTCCTCAGAGGGCCGCGCAGCTTGGAATAGGGTTTTGGAGGGTACAAAGGCGCAGAGCACGTAATATGGGGCCGAAATATTTATCTATACTATTTTGGGTATCCCTGATTTAAATTCTGATATAATGGCCCCCCCAAAACCCTGTTCTAATTATTAAGGCCCCTTTATCACCCAAGACAAACCTTCTCAAACTTGGGCCATGCCAAGCTCCCGCATCATATACCCCGGAAAGCAAATTGATACAACATGTGTCGGAACCTCCCCACCTAAGTCTGGCTGGGATGTGTGCATTCACCCCAACTCTGCTATGGCGACATGCACAGATATGTTGGTAGATGTATAAATAAGCAAATTTAAAGTATATGCACATGTATAGGCAGCTGTGTACGTATTTGCATGTGCTTGTGTGTATGTACATAGGTTTGTACGCATGTATGCATGCATGCATGTTTGTGTGTATGTATGTATGTGTGTGTGCGCGGTTGTATGTGTCAGTCTGCATGAGTGCATGAGTGCATGTGTAAATTACATGTACATGCAAATGTTAATGAAAACCAATGTGGTGCAATGTGCTGCAATGAATGGTGTGTGCTTTGATGTAATTGAACTTATGTTGTCTGGCTGTCCGTTTGTCTGTGCGTATGTATGCATGTTCGGTTCGTTATGTGTAAGCAGTTTTCCGTGTACATGTACATGGAGATATACATATGCATAGTGCGTACATATATGCATGTAAATGTATATGTATGTAGCAATGCATGTATATACACATACACACACACACACATATATATATATATATATACAGACAAACACAAGCCCCACACCCTCAGCCTCTTAACGCTAAAGCCTAAGCTCCGGAAACCCGAGGTACCCGGACCCTCCCATCCCGACCCGACTTGGAGGTGGCCATCAAATCCAGGTGAAATGCTAATCGCAACATGTTATTTCCATTACTGTGGCTGTGATGACTGGTAATGTTGTGATTGTTGCTGTTATTGTTGTTATTCTTGTTGTTATTGTTTCATGTTCTTGATGCATCATTCGGCATATAGAGCCCCTTCGAAGCAGCACATTCCAACGAGCCTCTCTGTGTTGGGCACCTAAACCCCCTACTTCCGTTCCCTGGCTTAGACGACTCTGCCGGATCTGACCCTAGCCCCAAGCCTGCGAGGTTTACGGTTGTAGGGTTTAGGGCCTTGTGGAAGGTCGCCTGAGTCACGTGAGGCTGTGCCAGTGGAGTGAGCCTACCGTTAGTCTCCATTGTTGTTCCTTGATTGGTTCAGCCAAGTACTTACATATTTGGGATCCTACAAGGTATCCCAGACAAGGAACTACCATGGAGACTGAAGGTGCGTTTAGACTTCAGAACACCATAAAAAGGTTGCTACGGATGCAGTCTCTGTGATCTGCAGGGCTTGCAGCGTTCTGCAAATCAAGCGCTTAGTAGCGGTTAGCCTTTAACATCTTGGGTGTATTAAGAACCTTGCATAAGCCGAAAGGTAAAACATGGAAAGTCAGGGCCTGCGGTTCAGACTTTTCGTGCGATGGTTTGCCTAGCTGCGTAGGACTGCTTGAAGGCTAAGGGCTGAGGGCCGACAGCTGGCAAGTCGGGACAGAACTACTTTTTGTTTTCCATAGGCTTCGGTTTCGTGGGATTTTGCATGAATGCGTAACAGCAAGTGCTGAAAGGAAGTGGGCCTTGTCCTTGGTTGAAGATGGCGGTCAGATGAAGCAACGCCAGACTGGGCTTTCGGGCGTTAGATTCTCTCAGCTACTGTAGAAGCTTGGGCTTGTCCTAAGGCTTCCCTATTTTTACAGTTGTTTGATGATGTAAGCCCTATTAGCGGTCCCTGCGGACATTCCGGAGGACTCCTGGTCGTACTGCACTGCGGTTTTTTCCTTCACACCACCCTGATTCTATCCGGCTATATCCGGCTAAGTCGCTAAAGCAGGTTGACAACGACCGCCTACATATCCGACCTGGTTTTCGGGTTTCGCTTTGGGGTCAGGGGTCTTCTGGCATGTGTCAAGTTGTACTCTGGATGCAGATTTCGTGCGATGCCGGCTTCACCTGTGGTGGCCCAAACACAGTTGCTGAGTCAGATGAACTTGAGCCGGGCACGGGCACAAAGTTGCATCCAAGCCGCCTTAGA